CAGGCCTGCTCCCTACCTGGCTCCCATGGATGCCAGCATGTACTGCAGGCTTGTTCAGTCTGTCCCACATTCCATTCAGCTCTCATACGTCAGTGGGCATTGAAGCCTAGTTCAACCCAACCAGCCCCACTATCCAGCCCACACACATACTGGCGGGTGCCCTTCTGTCTAGCCACCCGAGCCCCTGTCCTGGTTTTCATGCTCTCCAGTGAGAGTGGTAACCCAAGCGGGAGGTACCCACTATCACCCTACTAGGCCACTACCACTCCTGGATTAAGCATTCTCCAGGTGGTTCTGCAGTTTAACTTGACAAATTAGCCCCCAGTGCCAGCTTCTGCCAGTTGATGCTGCAACAAAGCCCAACCAACCCTCACCCACTCTAATTTATGCCTGGCTTTTCCCTGATCTAGGCCAGCAGCTTCTTACAGGTCTCCCACATGGGGGCAGGGTGCCAAGGCTTAGGGACATCCTCTGCTGCTTTTCCAGGCCATAAGCAGAGAACTGGATTGGAGGTTGGAGCAGCTGGAACACGGTCACCCCTATGAATGCTAGTAACACCGGGTAGAGGATTAGCTTACTGTACCACCACACCAGTTTCCTTATCCTCTGTTCTTAATCCTGAGAAATGATTTTGCCTTTGGTGATGGCCATTTACAAATTGGCAGATAATGTTCAGGTGAAGATCTGAACTAGATAAAAGTCTTAAAGTTCAGTTTTTCTTTTCTTTCCTTTTTTAAAATTTCTTTCCTTCCATCTAACTGTCCTTCCTTTTTTTCTTTTTTCTTTTAAGATTTATTTGTTTATATGAAAGCAGAATTAGGATGAAAGAGAGAGAGGGAGAGAATCTTCTAGCTGCTGATTCATTCCCCAAATGGCTCAATGGCAAGAGCTGGGTTAGGACAGTCTGGCCTTTCTAATGAAGGAACTGTGATCTAGGCCTGAGTGTGTGACCTGTCACCAGAACCAACAATCGTTTTATTACTGGGAACAGAAGTAAATCATTTCCCACTATCCCTCCTGTTGTTAAGGTGGCCTTGGGACTACAGTTTTTCTTCAAAACAATGTGGAGAGTAAGTGATGCATTCAAACTCACATCTATTCCTCCAGCTCTTCCCTGTGCTGACCAGGACCCATTTCTACAGCAAGATCTGGGAGCCAAGTGCTGGAGGAAGAGTGAATGACTGTCCTTCTGGGATTGGAAGTAGAGCAGGTAAGACTCCCTGAACTGATGCCCATAGAGGATGCCAGTGCCGTGGACAACAGCTTTACCCATGATACCATAGCACTGGTCTCTCAAAAAATAAATTTTTAAAACCACGTTTGGAAAGTGGGGGCTGGTGTTATGATAAAGCCACCACTGGTGACATGGGCATCCCAACTGGTATCAGTTTGTGTCCTAGCTACTTTACTTTTGATCTGGATCCCTGCTAATGGCCTGGGGAAAGGAGCACATGGTAACCCCAGCATGTGGACCCCTGCCAAATGGGAGACCTGGGCCAAACTCCTGGATCTTGAGTGCAATCTGGCTAGTCCCACTTTTTGTGGCCATCTGGGAATGAACCAGCAGATGGAAGATCTCTCCTCCTCCCTCCTTCCCTTCCCGCCCCTCTCTCCTTGTTTTCCCCTCTGCCAATCTCTATTTCCCTGTCTGCAACTCCTTCAAAAGAAACAAATCAACATTTTCAGAAATGGTAAGGAATGTATATCTCTTCATGCCTTAGAAGTTGTGCTATTTCAATGAATGCGACATGGAACGGCTGACTGAGGGAAGTGAGCAGAGACCCCCCTCAGTCTTGTTTCGCGACGAGGGATCTGAACGATGGGAGCAGTACACACTTGCCCTGGGTCGGGGAAGAAGCCTGTTGTACACATGTTGAATCCACAGTCGAATGACATTCATTTAGAGTCCCTCCTCCACGCCTCTCCCCGAGTCTACAGCCACACAACGAACCAAGCACACCAGTGGACAAGGCCCTGTCACTCCTAGGACTGGTCTCATCAGCAAGCAGCCGGCAGGGTGAGGACAGGGGAGATTTCTCATGTGGTAGGTGTTTGTGCAAAAACGCACATGATTTGTTGAGGTAAGTGATCTTGAAGAGCTTATTCAACTTGAAATTCTGCGCTCTTGAAGATAATATGAATTTTAGTTTCATCTGTGCCTCCCCACAGGCCTTACCTGGGGGAAGTACAAATCAGGAAAGAACCTCCCTTCCCCTCTCCCAAAGCACAAGGCAGGAAGGAGAGGCCGGTTACCTTCAGTCCGCACGTATCTCATATTTAGGTATCTTGCCTTGGTGTGGAGGGGGAAACCAAGTCATTCTAGCCAAGCTAAATCTCCTTTTAGTGGTACCCTGGGGTCACCATCCATTTCCGGTTGGTACCTTACAATGTCATCACCTCTGACCAGATCTGTATGCATTTTTTTTCTCTTTAAACAGTACATCTTCAAGGACTGCAGACATCATTCATGCAGTCTTTAGATGAGCTCCGAGTCTAGGGATTCATTAATTACATTTAAACTCATCTCTCTCCTTATTGTCAGGGGGGTTCAGGGATGTTGGGGGAATTAAGTGTTGGAAAATCATGAATTCAGAGGGGCTGTGTGCAACACATTTAAGTTTTGCAGGCTCCTTGCCTCTTTCATCTCTTGCAAAAATGCACGCGGTCTGGTTGATGGGGCTGCTCCCTCGCTGACGGGGAGCCAGCTTGTCTGTGCTGTCTCCAGCTTCTGCAGGGGACTCAGGTGGGAAAATGGGCAGCAGGAGGACCTCCTTCCTGCGGAGAGAAGGAAGCTGCTGACCTCGAAAGGGTCCAGGGCTGTGCTCACAGAGCACAGACATCTCCAAAGAGGAGCAGGTTCTAAGGAAGCTGTTTTGAAATGGCCTCCGGCTGTGAGGCAGGCTTTCTGGGCAGGTTTATTTCCGGTGCACTCTAGCCTTCTGCCTCATCTGCTGCATTCCTTGTGGTGTTTTTTCCCACCTGCTGGTACTGGGAGTAAGACACCTTCCACAGCCAGCCAGCTCTGCTGGCAGCCCGTGGGTTCTGGCACAGGGCAGAAGCTCAGGTCAGCCCTGGGATTCGGAATCTGGGAAATTTCTGGAACAGAGAAGTGGGAGTTTTTTTTTTTAATTAAAGAAGGATGTTGGTACTTTTAACTCCTCTGAAGTAGCTGGGTTGTTCCCCAGGTTAGCTTTTCATTAACTTCTGGTATGGCAGTTGTTTGGTTAGAGACCCGGACGGTGGTAAACCAGCCATCCACTCCACATCTAGGACTTTAAGCTGCAACCATTGGTTATTTTGCTCACAGATCTGCAGTTTGGGCAGGGCTCAGAACAGCCCGCCTCAACTCTGAGCAGCACTGGTTGAAGCTGCCTGAAGGCCAGATGGGTGACTTAATTGCTGGAGGCAGAACAGCCTCCTTCACATGAACAGGGGCTGCCGTCATTGGCTGAGTCCTTGCTTCAGGCTTTGGCTGAACTCTGACCCTAGCTCCTCTGTGTGGCCATGGGCCTCCCTCACAGCATGGCCACGCCCCAGGAGGACTGGGCACAAGTGTGTCTGTGCCCTGGCGATCAGCTAGTAGCTCCTCCGCCTTTGTCAGGCTCACCTGCATTCACAAGACGGGACACTGGGCCGCCTCTGGGGGAAGGAGTGGCGGCACCTGCTACAACCACAGTGATGATGAATGATCTGTGAGAGAGGAACTGGTACAGGAGCAGAGCCACTGGCTGCTTGAGAATCAAGGAAAGTGTGTGTGTGTGTGTTTTTTTTTTTATATACTTTAAGCTGTTGCAGAAACTAGAATAATGGAGTAAGGGCAGAGAATGGCAATGTGCTAGAAAACAGAATTTTCTTCAAAAACAGATTCCCTTTATTTGGGAGGCACTATAAGATGAGGATCCCAAACTTTGCAACAGACAATAAAGTCTTGCTTAGCTTTGCCTGCTTTAAGGTTATCCTTTCGCTGTTTTTAGTATCTTTTTCTGGATTAAATTTTGATATGGCTAGAAATTCATCTTTTCCTCCTTGACTTGAAATTTTATCATATACTAAATTCTTAGGAACTTAGTATATTTCCTTCTGGGATTTCCTTCTGGCCTTAAAGTATTTTTATCAGCCATTTTACCCTGTGGGAGTTTTAGAGCTAGACAGAGCTGGGCATAAACTCAGAGGTTTGAAGCAGCTTGAACTCTTTAGGCTTCAGCTGCTTTCTCTGGAAGATGGGGATAATCCTAGCTCCCTTGCTGAATGATTTTCAAGAATAAATGACTTAACATATTGAGCATGGGGCCCAGCACAGCTCAGGCGTGGTTCTTTGACAAACACACCTCATTGGAAATTTGTGTGCATGGTGTTGAGAGTGCCCTGGAGTTGAACAGCTGTGGGAAGGGGCAAAGGAAGCAGGGCTGTGTAGGCTCAGGTAACTCCCTGGGGAGCTTTGTGTAGTACAAAGAGCCCTTCAGCACTGTCCCAGGTTGGAGAGGCTCTGACCAATCCACTTCGCTCCATCACTGCCTGAGGCCACCAAAGATATGGTAGGTGGGGCTCTGTGACCTGTAGCTGGCTGGAAGGTGCCTTCTGGCAGCTGACCAGCAAAGCTTTGTTAGAGGGATTTTGGTTTTACATATTACAGAGTTCACCTTAGCACCTCATCCAAAACCATTTGATTTCTCCTCTTATTTCTACTTCGGAGAGGAGAGAGTTTAGCAAAATTTCCTGGTGGGAAGCTGCTTGTCCAGGATCCTCTGGTATAACAGAATTCCAAAACTAAGCATGGCAGAGATAATGCAAAGATGGCAAAGATATCTGAGATGAGATGAGCCGTGTCAGGATTTGGTAGTGGAAGGCGTTCGGCTTAGGTTAAAGCATTTTCTTTTTGTTCAGTTTTAGCTTAAAAAAAAAAATCAACTCAAAAGGAGAAAGGGAATATATAGGTTATAGAGTGACCCCAAAGGATAATCTTAAGAAAACATTGACAGAGATCAAACAAAGTGAGGTCATCAATTTGCTTTTCCTTTTATTATAAAAGTAAAATAAAAAATAGCATTTATAAATCCAACATTTTTTTCCTTTAAAGTATTTGATCTAAAAAACATATTTACAATAGCAAAATGCAGAAAACAGGGAAGATATCATTTCAGCAGTGATTGTGATGTTTAAATATTGGTAAGTACCATGCCTTTTTTTTTTTAATCACAGAGATAACCACATTAGAAAAAGCCATGTCTTGTTTCTTTATTGCACACCAAGTGACTCATGTTAAAATAACCCTTTGCTGAAACCTTAATCTGAATGCACAACTGTGTCATGGATGGCCAGAAGGAGCACTGGGTGGGGAGAGTGTCACCTTGTAATGACAGTGGGAATGCGGCAGAGGGACAGCAGCAACGACAACAGAAAGCAGCTGGATTCCAGGAGCGGCTTTGAAAGCTCAGAAAGCTACCTCACCCGCAATGATGCATCAGCTCAGCCGAGCACTGTGATTGCTAGATACTATCTGCAATTGAACCAGACTAAAATTCGTTAGGAGCAAGGAAAGGAAGTCAAGTGAGCAGGCCTTGACTTAAATCAAGAAGGATTCAGGCAGGCTGCTCTTCTCCAAGCACCTCGGGATGTTCTTTACCTTCCTCCCTTTGGGCAGCCCAGTGGGATTTTAGGGCTTTGGTTTATGCGATGTGGGGAAATGCTGAGAGGCTAAATTTTGCCTTCTAAAGGTCCTTCATGCCCGTACTCATGGGGCATTTTGTGAAGAGTTAGCATGGAGCTGCTGCTGGTGAGCGACTCTGTAAAGCTGAGCCTGTGGAAGGATGTCTCCACGCCGCTGTCGCAGATGCTGTCGTTGTCTCGAAGTTCATCTGGGGGCAGAAAGCACAGAATTTACCAGGAGCACAGTGAGGGTCAGGGCAGGTACTTCGTTCTCGTAACCTCAATTCCGCTGAGCTCCAAGCTTGGCTCTGAAAGGCTCATGGACCACGATGCAGATGACTGTCCACTGGCTTCCACTAGTCATCGCACCTTACCTTTGTTGCCTGCCCATCACCACTGCTGCTAGAGGTGGTGGAGGGGGCGGCAGCTGCTGTGTAACACCAAACCTGTAGACCTAGACCCAGGCAAATGTTTTCACATCTTTCTCTTGCAATCTTGCATGTGTTTACCAGAATCCTTCCTGAATTCTCTTGACTCAAAGTGTACCTGTTTTCTTAGAAATCAGGTGTATTTTCCAACCACTGTGTTATCTATTTTATAGCTGGGGAAAATTGCTGAACCTAGGTTAAAGAAATCATTATCAGAAGCAGTAACTAAAAATGAGAAACTTCTGTGAGCTTGTTATTCAATAGTATGTTCTGTCTCAAAGGGTTTTGCTGGCAGAAGAAAGGCAATTTTGATGAAAGTGAATCTATTCTGGAAAGTTAGGTTGCTTTCAAGGCACCCTTAGGGATCTGACCACTACCAGTTAAGGGATATTAGAATACTAAGCTTTTAATGCAACTGGGATGGTTATTGTCTTGGTATTAATTTACCATAATAAACCTATCTTTTTTGGGATCTGTTACATCCTAGGAACTGTAACTCACTGTGAACCAATTCTGAAGTATTCACTTTTCGTCTTTGTATTTTTATGCAGAAGGAGCCATGAGATGGGTGGTCTGTGTGGTTTTCCTAGCAAGACAGAAGAGCACCCTTACTCTCTGGGGACGACCTCTTGCATAGAGTAACACCACATGGAACCAGATGGTTAGCAGGCACCTTCCAGGTAGGCAAAGGAGAAGGTCCCAAGTCTCTGTGGCTGTGGGAGTACAGGGAGCACCTCGGGGTGGAAGGTGGTGAGGAGGGAAGAGAGGTGTGCAGCTTCAAAGAGTGACTGGCAAAAGCAGGCTGCAGCGTTCTCTTCTGTGCCTCAAACAGTGCTTGGCTCGGAGGGCAGATGAATGGAGGAAGGTAGACAACAAAAGAGACATGGTTTCCTTAGCCTGTTGTGCAGGAAATGGGTGGATGGGAGGCGTGCAGAAAGGAAACAGATGGATTAGGAGCTCTCTCAGGGATCTAGGCAAGAAATGAGGATGGACTGTGCTGGGAGGGGTGTCTTCCCAGAAACAGGGCAGGGAGGATGCACGGGCTGCATGGAAGGCCAGTAGGCCTAATGCAGATGCTTCCCTATTAGATTTCTGTCTTCCTCTCTTGCTGCATGGTTGTGCCTTTAACAAAAGCGGATGTCAAAGAGTTTTGTGTGGAGAAGCAGGAAGAGTGATGACTTTAAAAGGTGGGGGCAGAAGTGACAGCAAGGTGGTGTGCTGTGCAGAAGCTACAGGTGGAGGACTTCCCTGGAGAGGAGGGAGTGGTTGGCTGTGACATATGCATGTCGAGGGGATGAGGACAGTGACCTTATCTGGTAACGTAGAGGATGCTGTTCAGTGACAGCGGCAGGCTCGGGGAAGATGTGTGGTGGTGCCCTGACAACAGGGGGACAGCGAAAGGACAGAGATGAAGAGGTAGGAGAACAACCAATTCTGTGCAGAGGGACCAGAGAAACTGGCCTGTTGATAAAGAGCATGTGGTTCAGGGAGTGATTTTTTTTTAAAACTAGGACATTATGGCATGCTTGTAAGGTGAGACAGTAAGTAGAGAGGGACTGACAACATAGGAGAAGGGTAAGAATTATAAAAACATGGGCCTAGAGGAGGTATGAGGTTGAGTGAGGAAAGAGGCTGCTCCTACTGGGCACAGATGTTTACTCTGTTGGGTCCACGTGGAGGACACAGACACAGGTGTGAACACTGGATGGTGTCCCAAGAGCTTCTGTTTTTAATGAAGCATGAGGCACATGTACAGGATGAGTGAGGAGAGGAAAGGGGTCCTGGTGCTTTAGAAACTGAAAGCATGAGATGGCTTCCTAGTGACGGGGAGAAGAATTACAAGAGTATGGAGTTGGGTTGTGAATCCATTCCCTGTGGTCATGGGCCTTTGGGTGGAAGACAGCTGGTGCCAGTAGTGAGTGTTGGGAGACAAGGTGGGCATCTTGAGGCAGGAGCTCACTGGAGGGAGCAGCTAAGGAACTGAAAGGTGGTGTGGGAGAAAGCCACAGTCATAGCTTGGGGGCTGGTGCTGGTACAGCCCAGGCACTGTGCATTTTCTCTGCATTAAGAAAACAGCAGTACTATTAACTGTAGCCACCCACATCATATTGCTCTCAGTGTTTAGTTGAAATGTCAGGACCTCTCACGTGTGAATGATGGTCTGTGGGACTAGTCCCCTAGTCTAGATGGGGTGGGGTCAGATAGGAGCCTACAGACACATGTGCAGGAGATGAAGTGGGGATGCCACTGCCCTAACAGTTCCCAGGAGAACTGAAGACATCCACCTGGGGGAGCTAGGGAAGGCTGACACTGCACCAGCCATTTTCTTTACCTATCTGTTGCCTTGTGGAGGACGGAGACGGAGGGAGCGAGCATGCCTCAGAGGCAATCTTTCCAGGGCCCAAGGGTGTGGTTCCTGAGGTGGAGAAGGCAGCCTGGATCACTTCGATGGCTTCGGTGTAGCCCATCTGTTTCAAGGCCTCTACCAGCTCTCTGACTGTGCCCCCAGAGACCTGTGGGAAGCAAATGGAGGGTAGGGGGTGCTCTTACATTCCAGTTCCTGTGCTGGCCAGAAACAGTGACACACCACCCTCTCCTCAGGTTCCTCTCCTTTGCTCAGAGAGAAGGGCTGGTGAAGAAAATACACAGTCTCTTCATCAAGTTTCCTGTTTCAGCTCAAAGGCCACTCAGGAAATCCCAGAGAAGGGGTTGATGGTGAGCACGAGAGAGAAAGTGCTGAGGCAGTGAAACTCAGCCCAGAGTGAGGTCTGCACATCTCCGGGGAAGGTGAAGCCACAGGACACTTTCAGCAGAAAACAGTTTCACCCCCATGTTCTTCTATTTCTTATTTATAGAAACGAAAGCATCACCAGAGAACAACCACACTAGAAACACCTCACAGAAGGCTGGTTCCATGTGTGCTGGTAGGTGCTCAAGGTTTATGTCCTTGGGGACAGGAAGCTACGTGGTCCCAACAGCCTACTGTGCTTGCTTGGGTTCACGCACTGGACAGTACTGGCACTCTGAGTTAACACTTCTACCGGAAGCCTCCAGGTATTGATAAAACAGGGACGCTCTCAAAACCAATTTTCAGGATGGTAGGCTTCTTCTCAGGGGGAAAAAAAAATTGTTTTCTTCCAAAAATTCAAGGGACATGGAACTAGTGACATTACAGAGTCAAGCCAAACATATACAGGTAAGAACCCAAGGCCGTGTGTTACCTCGTAGTTGTCAATCAGAGTTTTAGAAGGAGCAGGACTTAACCGAAAGGCATTGTTCAGTATCCCCAGACCTAATTTCTGTGCCAGAGTAGCCCAGTTTTTGTCTGGATCAGGAATTTCTAGCAACTTGTACAGCTTCAACTTGGCATCTTCAGTCAGTTGTCTCATGTCTCCTAAAGAAAATGAAGAAAAAGGATTGTCCTAAGCCAGCAGGGACTCCCTGGAGGGCTACAGCACTGCCGTGGTGTTCGCCTTCGAACTCCTATTGGCGACAGCCATGCTACTGGCCTCAGCAGTCCGAAGTCTGGCTGACTCAGTGATTTAGGAATAAGAACCATGCCTTCACGGTACCCCCTGGATAACACCGGCTCTCCCTCTCCCTCCGTAGAGGACTGTGTGGAGGAAAGGCTAACTTTGAGAATCAGGTTCTCCTGCACCAACCTTGTGTCATTAACTCCTCAGATGTAAACTCTGGCTCATATGTCTTTCCATTTAATATGTCAAACACCTGTTGAGAAGAAAAACATGGGAAAGCATTACACATTGAAAGAACCTTTAGGGAAATATTTGTATCACAGGGCTACGTATGTCCTCCTCAGGAGAGCCCAGCAATAGAAGCGAGAACTCATCTCCAGGTACACGTGTATCCATTTTCAGGACGGAGGGCTCAGATTTGGGGGCCTGAAAAACTGAGGGGGAGGAGAAACCAACCCGGTCTTCAGACTCAACTTTGGCCTCTCTGGGGTTAGTGAGGCAGAGCACCAGGCTGGGGGCCACGCTTACTCAGCTCTGCTACCTGCCCCTGAGGAAAAGGCGTACCAGCATGGGGTGGATAAGCCTGTGCAAACTGAGTGGTCCATATGCTCACAAGGGCATTGAAACTGGGGCTCCTGAAATATCTCATTGAAAGCAAACAAATTGTGCTGCCGCGGAGGCTTCTCGGGTGTTTTCTGCAGTCACACTCCAGCTGGTGGCCTTCTAGGCTTTCTGGGGGAAAGGTGGTGTTGGCTAGGTGCTCTCCACCAGCATCACTCAGCTCAACACAGACAGCTCCTGGGAGGTGAGTGAGAGTGAGACAGCCGTAGGCTCCCATGCCCACTTGGTACTGGTGGTGGAGTTCTGTATGCTGCTGTCTCCTTTCTGGCTCCTCATCCTGGGCCTTAAAGGCCTAGGGACTGCACTTCCCCATCAGATCTCAGTATAGAGGTGGTTTGAGGAAAGGCTTTAAGTCCACTTACCCTTTTTATATTTATGCATATCTGCAGAATTCCCAGTTTCTTTTTATGTCTAGAAATCACCTACCTAAACCATAATGTGTACCCTAGCTTCAGAGACTGCGAGAGGGTGAATTCTTAGGTGGATTTTGTGTTTTCTTGCTCCTGACCCCTCTCACCTCTCAGCCCTGATCTGATTAGGCCCACACTTTTACACTGAACACCCAGCTGACCTAGATCTTTCATGGATAGGGTTTTCAAGATAAATATGGCTCATGACAAGCAGATTGTCTTCAAAATAAAAGGCATGCTCTTTGGGGAATAAAGCACCAGGAGGAGCATCTGTTCTTTCACTCTGGAACCTCTGGCATCCCCAAGGGGTACCTTTGGGCAGACTGCACTCACCTGCCAGCTGGTGGCCATGTCCAGAGGAGTGGTTCCAGGCACAACCCCCTCATCCTCTCCAGCCTTTTCCCAAGAGTCCTCCAAGTCGTAGAGAGGCTCGAAGTTCTCCACCAGGGGATCTGCTCCTGTGAAGATGGATTACACAGCGTTAGGTAAGTCCAGGGCTTGGCAGCTTCAGCTGCCTGCAGGGGTCCGGTTTCTAAAAGCAGGACTGGGCAGCTGCTGGAATTAACCACCTGGCCACTTCTTAGTGCAAACAGCATGTTTCTACTGAAAGATTCAGCTTCTTTTTCAATTTAAATTTACTTGGACTATATGGCTGTCTCACGACATTTTATATAGCAAAAGATACTATGGAACACAAAAGACTTTAGAAGCTTTGACCCTCACATTGAGCTGTAGAGTGTTTTTCAACAGAATGACACCTCTTTGATCTGAGTCTGATGGACAGTGGTTGACAGGGACTAGGGTGCGTCGTCAGGAGTAAGGCTTTCAATGTTCAAACTTACACTTGCCAGTGCATATTTTTTCAGCCTCTGCTCTCACTCAAAGATGTAAGATGCTTGAAACCATGACAGTATGGCCTATCTTATTCCTGTGTGGAACACTGTCAGAGCTATGATCCTCAGACAAAAAGCACCAAAGGAACTTTATGCTGGGATGTGTAGTCAGTGGAAAATGTGGGGCTAATGAATCTGAGGAAATCTAGTCTATTCTTTAGCTTTTGGCAGGAAATGACTCAAAATAACTCAAAGGTTAGAGCAAGAGTTACTTTTCAAAGGCAGAGAGACTATTTTTGAGAATGTGTTTAGTTTGATGTCTAACGAATGACAGGTCCAACACACTGTGTTGGGACAGGGAGCTTGGTTTTATTCTGCAGGGGAATCGTGAGTGCAGCAAACTTTAGTAATGAGAGGGTCTAATGAGGTCAGGATCTTCATGCTATTTCTGGATGTCACTCTCCCAGTCCTGGCCTGATTCATGAAGCAGCAAGTCAAACAACCATGAAAGGAATGGAGAAATGAGGATGCGCAGGCTATAGGACTGACCCACATCTGTTTTTGATGTGAATTCGTGACTCTAAGCTTAGGACCAGGGTGTTAGCTGCAGTTCTTCATTTACATCAGGACAGCTGTTACTTGCTACTCTTTTAATAGGATTCTGAGAATGCCAGAGAAGGCAATGTTGAAGCTGAGATAGCTTTTCTTGTTTGGAGGCTTTTTAAAAAAATATTTTTATTTGAAAGGTAGATATACAGTGGCCACAATGGTTGGAGCTAAGTTAATCTGAAGCCAGGAGCCAGGAGTTTCTTCCAGGTCTCCCACATGGGTACAGGGTCCCAAGGTGTTGGCCCATCCTCAACTGCTTTCCCAGGCCATAAGCAAGGAGCTGGATGGGAAGTAGAGCAGTTGGGACATGAATTGCGGCCCATACGGCATCCCAGTGCATGCAAGGTGAGGATTTAGCGACTCGGCTACCGCACTGTGCCCTAAAGGCATATTTAAATCATTATCAGTTACTTCTAAAATTATTCATATACACTGCAGTCTCCAGATTCAAGAAAAAAGTTCTACTTGACAAAGTAAAAGGTTAGTGCTTTTCAAGGAAATTATGTGCCTTTAAAGAAACTGCTCCTGTACTTTCAAGATAGCATTTTACCCTTCTCTGTTTCTTTGGATTAATGAAACACCTTCTAAAAAAACATTGAACAAACCCTAAAGTAAATCAAGCTATGGCAGTTGAACCACAGATTTCATTAAGTATTATATGAGGTTCCAAATCTGGAGTCAAAGGTAAGGGGGGATGACTCCTATACTTTACAACACCAGAGGATGAAATGGAATAATGTCTGCAAACCTTGGAACAAAGTAGGAAGAGAAAGAGGATGATGTGTGGGAATTCGGGCAGCCTAGGTGTAGACTCACACTGCCACTGGGCCATGTGGCATGATACAAGGCAGTCATGCTCATCTGTCTCAATGACTGTAAAATGAGAATGATAAGAGGGATTACTTCAAAGGTTACTATAGATTAAATGAGAAAATGCACAGAAAATACCAGGCCCACAGGAAGGTCAAATAAATAGTAGCAGTGAGTGCCTTGTACATTGTGGTATGGAGCACATGGCTTGTTTGCTTTTGCCTGTTACTCAACTTCTAAGAGGCTTTGCTCACAGGAGGAGGTCTTTAAGTGATTTTTATAATTTTTTTCCCCCCCTGAGGAATTCTGACATGTTCAGAGACCATAATGTTCAGAATTCTTAAGTAGTTGCACTTCACTAAGATCCTTTGTCAAAAGTCAACCTAAATTTTCCAAACCAAAACAAACAGATGAATCAGTATTGTCTGGCACGACAAGCAGAGTGAAGGCCAGGATTGCTAGTTCAATCAGCACCTCCATGGCAGCAAACATACGATCAGCCATACAATTTTTATCCATACTTTTCAGCAGCAGGTCTGTGGCTTAAAGAAAGCAACATGGCTGCTCTGTTGAAGTCAGGCTGGACTTCAGTGACCACCTGACCACCTTACCTGCTGCTTTGAGAAGAGCTGCCAGCTTGGTGGACCCTCTCCCGGCTGCTATGTGCAGGGGTGTCGTTCCATCAAAGGTGGTGCTGTCCACATGGGCATCTCCCTAAAACCCAGTCCACACAGAACAAGCTTAGTGAAAGGTTCTCTCACCCTTTTGTCCCCATCTCCCCCTGTGTGTGTGGTCCCTGGGGTCAAGTTACTAGCCCAGTTGCCACTGTGGGCTTACCCTGCCAATGAGGACATGTCCAATTAGATGCAGGGATTGGGGGAATGTTTCAGGGGGCTGCTCTGCAGTCATGCAAGGATGTTAAGTAAAGCTGAATACAGGGAGAAAAGTTGTTACTGGCTTCATTCTTATAAAAGTAATTTTGTTCTTCACCTCTAGGAGCAAGCAGCCTGCCAAGGAGATGTTGTCATGTTCCACAGCTAGATGTAGTGCTGTGCGTCCTGATTTCTGCTCCTGGGCATTGACATCCGCCCCAGCGGCCACCAGCTGCAGCAGACACGGCAAGCTATTGCTCATCACGGCTATGTGGATGGCATTCAGACCTATGGCCCAAACATAAGGACAGTCACAGGGTTGGAAGGCTGCTCACAGGTAGCTAACCATAACCATAACCCTTGAAGCTGAAGCAAACGGTAAAACTGGATCACAGGGAATAGGTGCTTGAAAGATGCTCATTCAGGGTGTTCTTTAAAGGCATGATAGGTCTGTTGTTCTGTGCTGCAATCCACAGGCTCCAACTGTGTTCTCAGGAGTCACTGAGAGTACACAAACATGCTCAGAATCAATGATGCTTTATATACTTCGAGAACAGTGTTTGTTCAGGACTCTGCTTTTTCCTGTTACTCTTCCAAATTAAAAGAATTAGCTACAGTGAGCAAAAGAAATATCACAGGAGACAATGAGCTCCAGGTGACTAAGGGAAGCAATTTTGAGTGCAAACCAAACAACACACTGGTTATCAAATACCTACTAATTAAAAAACTAAGAGATAATATATGAATGTCTCTTACCTTCTCCATTGGGATGGTCAATAAGGGGAGTTGCCTTTTTGTGCTTGAGTAAGATACTTAGAATTTGGTCTTGTCCTTCTTTGGCAGCTAGATGCAAAACAGAGTTGCCCAAGCGGTCCAGGAGACTCATATCTGCCCCAGCTCTCAGCAAATCCTGCACCACGTCTTCCTGCTTGGTGATCACTGCCAAGTGCAAGGGCGTCTGGAGTGGAGAAGACACAGGGCATGGGTCAGTGCTGACCACTTCTAACCCATGCCTTGGTAGCCATCAAGGTCATATGTGGGGTCATAATGCAAAGCTATTTCCTATTCTTGGATTAATTGCTGAACTTGGCAGCATAGTTATTCCCTGTACATACTGTATACTGAAGACGTACGAATGCTGAACTAATATTTAGTAATTCAACAGTTATGCTTATTTTTGCATTTAAAACTCTTTGTATGGATTTCTTGTGTCTCATCACAGTCCAACTGTTGATATTTTAGCTCACCTACTAGTAAATTTGGTTTTCTTGAGTTTCTAGTAGAACCTTCATCTTCAAAATTCCAAATGTTAAAAACATCAAGTCAAGGCTATGGCTCTGCTGAAGATGTTTAAATGAGTTATGCAATAGAAACCAATGAAGAAACGTGCCATCATTCTAAATTGACATGGAAAACAAATTTGCCAAATTAACAAATACTGTTCCACTGACTTGTTCCAGATCAATCAATATAGGTCTCCTACCCCTGTATCTTATAGGATTCTAAATCACACAACCAGAACCATGCAACCACCTGATTAAAAGGAATCAGATGGACAAAACAGCTGATTGCTGGTGCCTAATAGATACTTAAAACAGTCCATTTGACTACCTTGCTCACAAAGTAGTACATGCATGAATGCAAATGAGATATTTTGCAGTCTGTTTTCAAAAACCAGAAAGAGAAATGCAACCACAAATGCATCTTTCAAAGAACTGAGGTCACAAAGAAAATAGCAATATATTTTTATACAAATCAGTGTATTCTATAGGAGCCTCACTCTGAAATTCAGGTTGATTAGCAACATTGTTTACACCTTCCCCTCTAAGCAGCAGCTACCTTTTCTAACAGCAGCAACAGGCCGGCCTCCAGCATCCTTTCAACCATGTGAAAACCAGCAGAGTGAATGATGCTTGGCTCATCTAACTCAGTTACAGTAAACAATACAGAAATAAGACTGTTATTTTCTGCTACATTATGACTCTTCCAGGACAATAATCCTGGCTTGAAATGGAACTACCTCCTTGAAACGTGAGATTATTGCCAATCACCTTTTCAAAACCCCAAATCCAGTCTTTACAGGCTTTTTACTGATCTGTGTTTGATAAAATGCTGTTTGGGGATAGGGGAAAAGGAAAGAGACTGAGACTGTGAAAAAGAGGATCTGAGATTGTAAAAAACCACTCAAAAATTAGGAAGTATCTGTAGTTTTTGAAAATGTCATATAAAATCTCTTTCCATAGGTAAGAGAGGTTTGTTTTTTTCCTAAGCTTTTGTCCCACAGTGCCAGCAGGGCTTTCAATGCTATTTTATGCTTCTAGGTAGTGTGTGCAGGATGACATAGTAGACAGTTATTCAGGTACTCTGCAGAGCCAAATATACAAATACCCCAGGCAAGCTAAGTCAGACATACATATGAAAGAGAAATGCTGACTTGAATCCACAAGAAGACAAGGGTGAGGATAACCACTACCCTGTAGTCTATCAGAGTTTATTTACATAAAGGAAAGCTTAAAACTAGTGAAATTTAGGGGTGAGCACAGTGGCATAGCAAGTTGATACTCCACCTGCAGTTTTGGCACCCTATACAGGTACCAGTTCTAGTACTGGCTGCTCCACTTCTGATCCAGCTTCCTGCTTTGGACTGGGAAAGCAGCTGAGGATGGCCCAAGGCCTTGCGGCCTTTGCACCCATGTGGGAGACCCAGAAGAAGCTCCTGGCTCTCAGCTTTGGAAAAACCCAGCTCTGGTCACTGCAGCTGTTTGGGGAGTGAACTGTAACTCTTTCAAAATAAAACATTTTTGTTTTTAAAGAAAAAAGCTGGTGAAGTGCATACTACTGGGAAACAAACAGGTTGTAAGTGGGAGATGTACACAATGGAGCTCTCAAGTAGAGAGAAGAAACTAGCTATAGGCAAAATGCATGGATAGATCAAATAAACAGCACAGGCAGAAAAGTATCATGCCACTTACACACTGGAAAACAATACATGCATTAGATGGATGTTTTACATAGTACCTAAGAAGTCTGTATCCCTTAGGTTTGATACCCAGACCCAGAACTGGCTCATGACTTGAATTTCCTGCTAATGCAAACCTTGGATAGAAGCAGGTAATGGTTCAGGTAACTGGGTTTCTGCCACCCATCTGCGTGACCTGAATTGAGTTCCTAGTTCTAGCTTCAGCCTGGAGCAATCTCACTCATTGTGTGTATCGGGGAGGGAGCTAGCAGTTCCCTCTTGCTTCGCCTTTCAAGTAAAGAAAAAGCACATACATGAGAAACTATATAGAATTGCACAGCTTAGTGCATATAAAATATGCAATCATGTGGTTGGCACTTGGAATTTCTGAAGTTTCCACCACATGCATCTTTGGGACCGAGAAGGCAGATCAGACAATCCAGAATCCTTGTCACTAATGGTAGTGGTGGTTAAGTAATACAGTAAGGAGTTCAGCATATAATACATTGCAGTTATTTGTCTTGTTGCAGAGGAGCCTTTGTAGATCCTATTTATAAACAGAAAATGCATTGCTTAAATCTAACCTACAGGCAATAGAGCTAAGCAGTCTCTGGAAGGAGGGCTAAGAAGCGACAACATTCCATCCCTAGATTTATTTGTACATTGTGATGGTTAGAAGGAGCAATCCATCAAAAGGTCTGCAAGAATCAAGATTTGTGGGCCAAATGACTTTCCAAAAACCAACAACCCTCTCACCACTCCCAACCTGGAGTGGTATGAAATGCTGAAGATAAGGCAATCCTTTAGACATAAAGTTGGAATCAGACTTCATTCTAGCTAATTATGAGCGAAGAGTCCCTCACTGCAGTTTTTCTTATTAAGCATTAAAGAAAATTAAACATTAAGCACAGCAGACTGAAAAGTTTAATGTCTTACCCTAGAAAGGAAATAGTTTTTTTTTTTTCCTACCTATCAGGAAACACCTATTCACAGACAAAAATCTATTCACAGCCACATGTAAACAGGTTAGGACATTTAAAGCACATTTTGAAAATGTGAAAATCAAAATGAGGAAGTATCAGTTTCTTTTAATTTAAAATGGAAAAATAAAAGTTATTCATCTCACCTACCTGAAAGATTGTGCATGGGCCCAGATACCTTCATTAGGTACATAATTTTATGAGATTGCTAGTCATTTAATTTTTCTTTTAATATCAAGTTTTATTTAGTTATTGGGCATGAGAGCTGCACCTGAATCACACATCTAGCATACCTCCTTAGCTGTGGAGGACCGGGGAAGCACTTTAGAGCAAGTGAAGAGGAGAAAGATGGAAAGTGAAGGAGGGGGCAAAATGCACACACCCAAGTCTTGGGGGACAGATGAAAAAGGCAACAAGTGGAAAGACCAGGAGGAAACAGCCCTCAGGGCAGAGGTCCAATCAGCCCCAGGCTCTGGGCTCCCACCAGAACAGTTCCCACCCTCCTTGCACGCTGAAATCTGCACTGCCCATCAGGTGACCATGTCTCTGGGTCTCCTGCTGACTTCTCTTTTTACCATGCCTGCAGACCATCTGGACATGGACTGCTAGCCTACTCAATTTGTCTTTAAATCTGATCCAAGAAAATCTCAGGTGTCCTGTTTTCCTCACTTTGAATTGCTTTTGATTTTGAAGGACAGCTTTCTCTCTCAAACAACCTTTTTACTTTTCTAGGTTATGATTTCAGCACCCTGTATTTGATACACATTTAATTCGATGTTGTCACAGTACGTTTTAGTAGACTTTAAAATCCTTACCAAATATTGTCTTTTCAAATTTTTTTCAGCTTTATTTTTCTGGATAGAAGTGACATTTTTACTTTGGGTTCTCCTTCTAAAATGCATCAGCTTTTATATCTGGAGTTCTAGTTTGCCTTCCCCTAGCATGGGTAGTTGGTATTTAGACCACAGACCAAGGGATCCCAATTCATAATGTAACATTCCCCACAATGGCATTTGTCAGTAGCATTACCTCTGAATATGTTTTATTGCATTTCTGCTCCTGTTAACACACACAAATACATGAAAATATTATTGATCTTTCCTTCAATCATCTTGCGGAGATTTCTGCTTACCTGGTATAGATCATTTCTCATGTTGATAATGTCATCAGAAATCAAACCAGACGTGACTTCCAGGAGATCCCTCACCAGCTGAGCATGCAGGTGGATGATAGCTAAGTGTAAGACACTGGAATGAAAATACAGTGGCAATAATGAAATGTTAATAATCCCACCAGATTCCAATATATGATTAGAATTACAAGTGCAAACTGAATCTTACTCTCAAGCCTAGTTTTTACCTAGCACTGAGGTGCTTTGAATCTATCTAATGTGTTGACTCTGAGGTGGGATGCACCTTTCAGAGGATCCACGCTGCCCGACTGCCCGTCCAAGCCTGCTTGCTCCTTTGGGGTTGTTGCCTGGCTTCTAGGAACATTCATGCCTAACCCCTTGAAGTGTAAGGCATCTGGCCAGACTCAAAGCCCGAGTCTACCTCTGCATTATGGTTTCAGGTGTTTTCTGCTCTAGCTTTTCCCTATTGGTGGGCGTAAAATGAATACCTGGAACTAGGAACTGTTAAAAAATATTAGGTACATCACCTAGTCCTGCCCCCTTCCTCCAACATTTGTGTGGTGATTTTACAGACTATCTTAGACCTCAAGAGGGGAGAGCGGAATCAGTTTGTTGAGAAAAGTCTTGAAGCATTTTTGAGGGAAAAAAAAAGTGGAAATATTCCCTTTGGATGTTGCTTACTGTAGTCCTCAGAATTCACATCTACAAAGAACACTTTCTGGGCACAGCAAACTGACCCCTCTCAAGCACACTGCCTGGTGATGCAAGCACAGTTCTCTCAATGCCCTTCTTCTCTGGCCAGTTATCTTTTCAGGTAGTTTCTATGTTGCAGTCAGCCTTACAACCCACGGCAGTGTAGGCACAGAAATGGGAAGAGCAGAAGGAAACTAGTGAGTGGAATAGTCTAATGTGCTAAGAGTAAAGGTGAGTGTAAGCACCATTACCCTGGGAACACAGCTCAATGGTTAAAACTCTTAAAACCAACTGAGACAACAACAATAAAAATAACTATTATTGAGAGCTGTTTACTAGATTATATTAAGCATTTGTGATATATTACTATAACAATGATCCTAGGAAGCAAATCAAGGGGTCTCCAAAAGGTCATGGAAAGTGGGTATCACAGAAACAGTATGATAAATTAAAAAAATTTTTTCTTGCATCAAAATTATTTTATTCCAACTCCCATGAACTGTGAAGTACCTGGATTACCCTGGCTTATCTGATGATGAAATGGGGACTTTACAGGAACCATTTATCTCCAGGTCACCTATACAGATAGCAGTAAAACTCAGATTCAGAGCCAGGTTATCTTACTCCAAAGCCATCCCGAATGCCTTAAGCTGTCCTGCAATAGGGGACACAGGTGTACTGCTTCTTTCTTTTTTTTTTAAGATTTATTTATTATTATTTTTTTTTATTGGAAAGGCAGATATGCAGAGAGGAGAGACAGAGAGGAAGATCTTCCCTCCGATGATTCACTCCCCAAGTGAGTACAACGGCCGATACTATGCCAGGAGCCTCTTCTGGGTCTCCCACGCGGGCGCAGGGTCCCAAAGCTTTGGGCCGTCCTCGACTGCTTTCCCGGGCCACAGGCAGGGAGCTGGAAGGGAAGCGGGGCTGCCGGGATAGAACCGGCGCCCATATGGGATCCAGGGCGTGCAAGGCAAGGACCTTAACCACTGTGCCACCACGCCGGGTCCCTTGGTGTACTGCTTCTTAACATGAAAGCCTGGTAGACATTCAAGAAGAGAACCCAAGCATGGACAGACTGAGATGCAGTGCACACTCAGAGCATCACTGGGCACTGTTGGTACATGTGGGATTTTAGGGAAAGGCTGTGATCTTTAAAGATATGAGGTGCTCCTATTTTCTGCCTCTTTCGTAGCAACCAGCATCTTTTATTCAGGATTAACATTGGTAACTGATGGCCTAGAAAATTAAATATTGATTTTACCACTTAAGAGAGACTTTTCAATGAGTGATTGCAGGGTTTCACCATGGCTTTTAGAAATGTGACGCTGGAAGAAGACGTCTGAAAAAGGCCTGCAGTTTCACGCAGACATGATATACATGTACCAAAAAAGGTCACACTTCAAAACCAGCCTAAAAATTCCCATGTGCAGCTCAGCAGTTCACATTTTCCCTCCCCCTCAAATCCTCACACCCTCATGGGAATTTCCCCAATATCAGAAGGCTTTCTACGTAATTTTTTTTTAAATTTTCTATGATGACTAATGGCCACAGGATTTAGCTTATTAGCCAAATATGACAAGCTCAATGAGTACCAGAAGCCTGAGCTATGACGGTCAAAAGCTGTCACTTGTCTGCACTTGCAGGGATGACTCCTTCTTGGCTTCCTCATGGCCCATGTCTTTCACCCCTGTGATAGCCTTCTGTGTGTGTGTGGTTCCAGGAGGGGCCTTTTCAGTTTTCACTTCCTGCTTGGCAAGGAGTCCTTCCCCACAACACACCAGTGGGAGGCCTGTGCCCCTTTCCAGTCTTCCCTTTGAACACCAGTGCCCCCTTTTAGCTCTTCTTCTTTACACCCATCAATCAGCAGGTCCCTAAAAATGTCACTAGGACAGCATGGGTCCTGGTTCATGTAGTTGTAAGCTACTGAGTGGTAACTGGATTATTTAACATTGAAACAACAACAAAAACAATAAACATGGTGTTGTTCCTGGCCTTACATGAAAAAGGTTGTGCCAGTTCATTTGATAGCATATAACAAGGCCAGTGGTTATAGCACATCTTTGGTGATGCAGTAACATGAGAACAATGGTCTCTGCTTGAAACTCTGAGGTTGGCACTTTCCTCAAACATTTGGCACCATTTTGAAACTGAGTTTGAACATACAACACTCAAAAATTTTTCCATGAAGGAAGCATTTCTCAGAGCAGGTGCTGTTTGAGGATGATTTTAAATAAAGCCCTTGAGTTGAATGTGAAGGCTGCTGTCTGTTATTTTTACAGGCTTTTGAGATCATTTGGAAGTCTTCGTGAACGGACTAAGTTGTTTTGGAGAAAACCCAGGTGGCTTTGCAGTATCACCTCAGTAAGAAAGAAGATAGGGCCCGGCGCGGTGGCGCAGTGGTTAAGGTCCTCGCCTTGTACGCCCGGGATCCCATATGGGCGCCGGTTCTATCCCGGCAGCCCCACTTCCCATCCAGCTCCCTGCCTGTGGCCTGGGAAAGCAGTCGAGGACGGCCCAAAGCTTTGGGACCCTGCACCCGCGTGGGAGACCCGGAAGAGGCTCCTGGCTTCGGACCGGCATAGCATCGGCTGTTGTGCTCACTTGGGGAGTGAATCATCGGACGGAAGATCTTCCTCTCTGTCTTTCCTCTCTGTATATCCACCTTTCCAATAAAAAAAATAATAATAAATAAATCTTAAAAAAAAAGAAAGAAGATAGACGTCATGGAGTGTGGGATGTCAGATGCTCATACAACATGGGCTGCAGCAGAGTCTTTTCCAGTCACAGTCTGGGGACCATTCTGAGGGACAGTGGAGAAGCAGGTGGTGACTGAGAAGGGTGAACACCAGCCTTGTGATTATTTTGTTGCTGCTGCCTTAATTCAGCCCTTTCCTGAGCATACTATCATTACAGTTTTCCAGGTACAGGATCCAGTAACTCTGAAAAATTCTTTTCATCTTTAGCCAGTATACATTGCATAATGATTTTCTCTCTTGATTACCCTGAAACAACTCTTGTCTCACAGGAGTCCTAACTTACCTGTCCCCATTCTCGTCCTGCACTGCAGTGAGGTGTCTCTGGACAGCCAGGAGCATCTTCACATCTCCTGTCACTGCATAGTCGAAGAGGGCATTGGCGTGCCGCTTGGCAAGCTCCAGGGCCTTCTCTAGAAAGAGGTTATCTGCAAGACAAGAACCACAGCCATCACTGAATTCCCTGCATTTGCTCTACAGGCAAGCACGCCTGAGACATCAGTGCTCTGATAACTTGAAACATTGTTTTAGGTGAAAATACTTCTTTCCATGCTTCTAGATTATACACATTAGAAAAAAAGCACAACTTTGGTTTAGATGCTGGCTCACTCACAAGCATATGTATCAAAAATATCTGCCTGTGTATTTTAGAGGGTGGAGAAAGACAAATATTCTTTAAGTACAATGGCCACTCTCCAATGTTGAGTGGATTTGCTATAATTTTAAACAATCGTTCTCTTGATGAAAGAATTCTTCATTGCAATATTTAACAACCAACTCACAAGGCAACTTATCAGAAAACACATACCTCTGCCATGGGCACAGCTTCCATGAGCCCCTAGCATCTCCATCAAGTTTGTTCCCTTGAAGTCAGGGCAGATCTGTGTTTCCTTTGGGCCCCGAACTATAAATGGCCTGTTTTTATAAAGCTCCCCAGCTAAGCATCATTGGTCATTTGTATTTCTTTTTGAACAGTTTTCTTCTATTACTCTAATTTTATTCAAAAAAGAGACAAACAGGTACACACCAGCATGCCCCATGTTTATTTCTATCAAACTGACAAGCACAAGAGAGGAAGGAAGAGGAGAGAGAACTAAGGGGCAGGGGGAGAGAGGGAGAAGCAGTGGCGGGGGAGGGAGGGAGTAGAGGGCGGAAGGGAGGGAAAACACACACACACACACACACACAAAGCATTCACATCTGCTATCACTTCCCAAGTGCCTGCAATGGCTGGGCGTGGGCCAAGGCTGAAGCCAGAGGTGTGAACTCAATGACAATCTCCAACATGGGTGGCAAGTACCCAAAAATTAGAGCCTGGGTATGCATTAGCAAAAAGCTGGAATCAGTAGCTAGAAATGGAACTCAAGTATGGGCATAAACATATTTTTAAAATGTATATATTTTTAAAGATTTACTTATTGGAAATTCAGATTTACAGAGAAGGAGAGACAGAGAGGAAGATTTTCCATTTGCTAACTAATTCCCCAAGTGGCTGCAATAGCCAGAACTGAGCCAATCTGAAGCCAGGAGCTCAGGAGCTTCTTCCAGGTCTCCCATGCAGGTATAGCGTCCTAGGGTTTGGGCAGTCCTCGAATGCTTTCTCAGGGAGCTGGATGGGAAGTGGAGTCTCTGGGACATGAACTGGTGCCCATATGGAATCCTGGCATGTGCAAGGCGAGGACTTTAGCCACTAGGCTATGATGCCATGCCCAGGCATGAACATCTTAATTGATGTGTTGACTGCTAGGCTAAATGCCTGCCCTGGTTGGTCATTTGAAAAGATATAAAATATCATTTTGTTGACTGAGACGACATGTAGTCAGCAAATCCAAATATTTATTATATTTCCCTTATAAAAAGAGTACTCCTTTAAAGTAAATAAGAAGTACATGTCCTTCAATCTTACTTCTTGAAAAGAAGTAATGGGATAAAAAGAAAAGTTCCTATTCTCAGGCAAAGTTCACTTCAGTATGAAAGTTAGACTAGACTCAGGAGAGAGATGACTGTGATGACTGTGGAAACTGCTCATTATTCATGTAAGAAGATTACATTTCATGATACCCTCAAACAGTGCAATTAAGATTGGTGAATGCACATGTAAATTTTGTACTTTACATTCAGAGATATACTAGGAAAATAGGAGGTTCAGTGTGAATAAGACAAACCCGACACATGCTTTTCAAGAGACACACAGGACTTTGAAGAATATATTGCACTAACTGGTGTATTATATTTAGATCAACAGAAAATATACCTGTTTTCTGAAAGTTGTTTCTGCATCTAGAACCATCCCTCCCCAGCTGACAGAATGGAGGCACTTGGCTGTGCACTCACCCTGAGGCCGAGCTTTCTCCTCCTTCACTTCCACTGTGGGCCTCAATGCCATCTCATCACTTCTGTCACTGGACACGTCAGATTTCTTGTCATGTTCTGTGGTTTCAATTACTTTTCCAGAGGCATGTAGAGCTTCTGTGTCATCACCCTTGTCACAACCTTCAGGGTCACTTTTACAGTCAGTATCTATGGTTCCTAAGAGAAACGCAAAAAAAAAAAAAAAAAAAAAAAGCATGTCCTCATTTACTGCAAAGGGAACAGAAAACCACTATTAAAAATTTTAATTATCTCATCATAAATAACATTCCGGAGTTATTTTTAACTCTCTAAGAAAGGTTTTTAAAGTATACTTCTAAAAACTGAGATCTCATTTGTAACGGAGAAAAATGAAGCAACTCCTCTTCTGTGAACAGAAGGGAAGTGGAAAATTTAAAGTTCTAGAAAGTGGAGCAGTTATTTTGTTTCTAAAGCTAATAGACTAAGTAAGCTGCAAGGATGCGATTTCAATTCAAGTTCGTTAGTGTGGGACCTCTCCAAATATTAGTTCTGACCACCTCTTTTTAACTTGAATATGTTATCTGAAAGGAGCTATAACAGCATTTAAGATTAATTTTTAAAAAGATTTATTTTTATTGGAAAGGCAAATATACAGAGAGGAGGAGAGACAAAAAGGAACATCTTCCGTCCAATGGTCCACTCCCCAAGCAGTCACAATGGCTAGAGCTGAGCCAATCCAAAGCCAAGAGCCTCCGTTGGGTCTCCCATGTGGGTGCAGGGTCCCAAAGCTTCAGGCTGTCCTCAACTGCTTTCCCAGGCCACAGGCAGGGAGCTGGATGGTAAGCAGGGCTGCTGGGATTAGAACAAGTGACCATATGGGATCCTGGTGCATTCAAGGTAAAGACTTTGAGCTGCTACACTATCACACCGAGCCCAAGATCAATTTTTTTAAAGATTTTATTTATTTTTATTGGAAAGGCAGATATACAAAGAGGAGAGACAGAGAGGAAGATCTTCTGTCCGATGGTTCACTCCCCGAGTGGCTGCAATGGTTAGAGCTGAGCCAATCCAAAGCCAGGAGCCTGCTCCGGGTCTCCCACACAGGTGCAGGGTCCCAAAGTCTTGGGCCTCCTCAACTTATTTCCCAGGCCACAGGCAGGGAGCTTGATGGGAAGTGGGGATGCCAGGAGTAGAACCAGTGCCCATATGGGATTCTGGCATGTTCAAGGCAAGGACCTTAACCGCAACAGTATTGCGTCGGGCCCACCAAGATTAATTTTTAATAATTAAAAACTTTAATTGGCCAGCTCCAGTTAAATTTGTCACTAACACTCTGAACTTTCAGCAAATGATCATTTCTTAGTGTCTGTGCTTCTGTGTATAAGATGGAGATCCCAATACTTAGAGTGTCACGAAGATTATAGTTAAAAGTATGTAAAATCACCTAGTATAAGGTAGACACTGAATAAAAGTGAAAATTTTACAGTACTATTTCATAAGTGGGTACAAACGAAAATGGATGTGCAATATAAACTATGAACTCACATACCACAACTACTATTTTGGAGATGGATTTGATTGAAAAAGATCAACACTTTAAGACTCAAAATAACTTCAACATTTTGTAGGAAAAAAAAGAAAGGTTAAGTTAACTGTTGCCTTTATGTTTAGTCTAGTCAAGGGTCTATAGGTTTCTTCTTAAAGTTCTTTATCTCCGCCACTCACATCGTTTACATAGTAATACATCAATAGAATATGAACATAAAGAAAAGAGTTTATATCATCCATAGGCAATATTTTGGGAAAGTATCTTCTTAATTTGCATTCAAAATTATTTTCATGGTGATAATGTAGTTGTGATAAATAATAAAAAGAACCCAGTTTGCATTAATTTTTGTCATACTCAATATTTAAATATAATATCACTTACCATGGTTCATTCCAGCATTAGATTTAGTGGTTCCCGGATGAAAGGCAATTCCACCGTATGTGGGAAATCCATAGTGCGGGAAGCCATACCCTGAATGGTGAGTAATAGAGATGGAACATCATGAGATACCTTTAGCCAAGTCTCAGCCAGCCATGGTGCCCATCCCTCAGGTGAACATGGGCTGTGGTTGTGGGGGGACAGTGCTCCCACATGGTGCTTCAGCTGGGAGGGAGACACATCACGGTGGTGGTGAAGGCATCAGAATTCTACTTTGGCAAATTAGGTGGTGGCCCAGGCTTGCAACAGCATGGAATAGAAATGGTCTTATGCTGGGGAAAAGTTCCCACTTCCACATGGAGAAGAGAGGCTAATGGGAAGTGACCACCACCCAAATTCAGACTTGCTTACATAGAAGATGTTAAAACAATCTCTTGAGGAGAAACCAAACCAAAGTCAAGAGTAAAACATTCTGACTCCTCAGCAGAAAGAGGCCATCATTGTTCATTCTCAGGCATGCTTGTGGAAGTGTAAACTGGCAAAGTCTCTGGGTAAGCCACAGTCATCAGATGTCTTACTCTCAGTATTTTCAATTCAAAGAATCTCACTTAAAAATAATCTAGAATAATGGAAAAGTGATATGGATTGGGGTTCAGCAGAATATTTTATATAGAAAGTAGGAAATGACATTCTAGCAGCTAATACAATGGTTTGTTAATATGATGAAATATCCTATCATTAAAAATTATGCAGTGTAGCACTTATTCTACCATGAGGAAATGCTTATGCTAACATGTTATATAAAAGCAGCATGCAGGACTCTAGACATATTCATAATACAATAGAAATCAATGTGTTAACATAGAATACACAATTATCACAGCTGTACTTTGAAGCTCATATAAATCTACTATAATGTATGCATGAAAAATTAGAGGTGGTTAACCTTTACATAGTTAGCTTAAAGTGGTCTTTATTTTCAAATTTTGTAATATAAATAATGTGCACTGTAATGTATATATAACGTATCAGTTTTTCAAAGTTCCCAAAGAATACCAAGAGGCCAAAAGGGAACAACAACAACAAAAAGGTGGGGGGGACACATATATCACAATGTTATAGAGAGGTAGTTTTTGGACAAGTGGCTCTGCCTGAGTTTTCCTTGTTACAGGTTTTGGGGTTAGCTATTAATAGAAAAATAGTTACATTTGTTGGGAGATTTCAATGGATATGATGTCTAATATTCCATTACTTCACTGCCATTCAACCAGGAAAAGAAAATTCAACCCTTTTTAATATGAGAAAGTTTTAGAAAGAATGTTTTTCTTTTTTTGTACCTGGGCCTGTGCTGCCAGCACCGCCTCCTCCACCTCCACTCCCAAACATGCCTCCGCCTCCAGTTCCAGCACCACTGCCACCTCCGAAACTGTCTGAAAAATTGGGCATGAGCTTTTGCCGTTTCCTCTGTACTTCCTCTTTATCTGTATTTAAAGGAAGAGAAACCAGAGGAGAAAAGATGACTCGAATCCACCACTAGCCACAGAGAGACTATTGATTCCAAAGGTATTTTTAAACATCATGAAGGGAAACAGAGAGCACTGAGGGAGGAAGGGATGCCAAACTTCAAGAAGCAATGCATTTATTCCAATGGGTACAGAGACCAGAAACTGGCCTCGGGGAGATCACAGAGCAGTGAACACCCACACGCACTCTACAGCAGCTTCCTGGGTCCTCAACACTTAACGTCAGTGAGGTGAGATCTACCATTACAGCGGAGATACTGAATTTAGAAGCTATTAAACATGTTTACTTCCTCATACAAAACAGCTATTACTTATCTTCTACCATTTATTACGCATCTACAATGAGCCACCTGCTGAGGATAAAGAGAAGCATGCCTTAATGCTTTTGTGGTCAAGGATGCTTCAAAGCAATTCAAGTTAGCGAGGGAGAAAGGCCTTTATGGTGGCAGCATCAGAACGCTTTTCACTGATGGTAAAGACCGAGATTCTAGGAGTTCAGGGAAGAACTTCCAGGAGGTTCCTGAAGATTGTTTCCAGAATTAACTTGGGAGGAGAAGGATAAAGAGGATGTCCTGGGAAGGTGATATGAAGGGAACAATGTGATAACATTAAAAAGAACCTGGGGTACTTGTAAAAACAGATTAGTTTGGCTGAAGGGAAGGCTTAGCGTAACAAATTCTTGAGAAACAGGGATGATTGGTCATCCGACTGTGGAGCACCAGGAACATGAACCTAAGGGATTTCACTTACAGGCAGGAGAGCTACTCCAAATCTCTAAGTGAGAGAATGATGTGTAAGGGGTAGTATTTTACATTCACTTGTCATTTGTATATAGAACAGCCTAAAGGATCAGAGAGAGGCCGTGACAATGCAGGCATTTGGTGAGGGAAGGCTGCTCTTTAGTGGCACTGTGAAAACAGGAATAGGGCGCACCCCTTACACACTAGGAAAGAGGGGTACCTGGCTTCTGGTGACTGCTGGGGAAGACTAATGGTCTAAGAACATCTCTGTACTAAAACACAGGGATGCCCTCTGAGACTGTGGACTGCCTGGCCCAGGTGCGATTTCTCTCTCCCCTCACTGACCGTGGGACTGTTCTGTTCCCAGTTGCTCCTCACTATGTGTGCTTTCTCACCAGCCCCAATGGCTCTCTTGGCTTCTGTGGTCTATGACTGTTCTAGTTTCTTCTTTCTGTTTCCCTTTCTTTCTCTTCTTGACTTTCCTTCTGTATTTTGGTTTTCTTCCTTCCTTCTTCTGGGCTAAAGGAAATTTCCTGTTTACGTTTAAAATAATTAATATACTTCTCAATGAGTAGTTCAGCACTTAATGACTGTCCTGTTCCTGATTCTTCAGTGTCAGTTTCTTGTTACTGTTTACGATCAGAAGGTTCTCTGCTTATTTCTAAATCTGTGGTCATGGCAGTCATCCCAGGCCAGGTAGAAGGCTGCTGTTTACTGATTATCTCGTGGTCATCTAACTGCAGTGGGAAGATAAAGCCAAGAAAGTTGGGTGACAGAAAACACTTCAGTGCATATCAGAAAATGGTCCAGAGTCATGAGAAAGAAAAAAAGACCAAGAGAGTGAATTTTGAGAAAAGTGTACAGTTCCTGGAAGGGGGTGACCTTCAGGGGAGAAATTTTAAACATATTCCAATCAGAAATTTTTTTGACAGTTTCATATAATTTCTCTGTTCTACCACAACTCATTAATATCTGCAATCATTACTCATCATAAAAACTGATGATCCCACACAGATTATTAGTTTAATGCAGAAACACAAAGGGAGAAGTAGAAAATTTATTTACCTTCAGAAAGAAATGTTATCTATTTATCTGTTTCTAGCAAAGAGAACAGTTGGTACTTTCTATGTACTCTTTTTGCTTTTGAAAGTAGAGATGCTGTTTATAGTTCACTGTAAAAAAATTGGAATTTTAAGTCTATTTTCAGTGAAGAACCAGTGAAGACTCAGAATTGAATCTGGAGATTTTCACAGAGTTCATTTATCACTGTGGTCTACCTTTGGTGAAGGCTAGTTCTACTTTTACGTAAAAGGAAACTGAAGCTAGCATGATTACTGAGGTCAGGGAGAGTGAAGAGCACCCCCAAGGTCTAGTGGTTGTTACATTAAGCTATCATTCCTTGGGAAACACTACAAAAGAGCCTTGTATGGTAATAATTGATGACGTCAATAAATTATAATTTTTAGATAATAGTTCAATTCACAAATGTAGGTAAGCTTTTACCCTCTGTCATGGTTTCCTTGGCACGGGTCTGACAGTATCTCAGTCTCACTTTTCAGGTTAGAGCTTATCAATAATGCATACTGCACCTCTCCAGACACTACCTTTCATAATGTAAAGGCTATGATTCCTGCCAAATCTTTATCTTTTTAGACTGAAAAATCATTATGGTCTTTCTTTGCATTCATATAGCAATTTGTCAGCAATTTTCTTCCTTTGCCAACCACCCTCCTCTTGATTATTTTTTTTTTAAGATTTTTTTTTTATTGGAAAGGCAGAGTCAATCTGAAGCTAGGAGCCAGAAGTTTTTTACGGGTTTCCCACGTTGGTGCAGGATCCCAAGGCTTTGGTTCATTCTTTACTGCTTTCCCAGGCCACAAGAACAGAGCTAGATGGGAAGTGGAGCAACAGGACACGAACCGGTGCCCATCTGTGATCCTGGTGCATGCAAGGTGAGGACCTTCGCTACAGTGCCAGGCCCATCTTGATTATTGTAATGGTCTCCCATGGAGCCAAACCTCTGCATGAAGTTTCTGTGAGACACAGTGTCAGTGACCATGGTAAAAGCAGAGTTAAGAAATGTATGATTCTACATAATGAAGAGAATTTTTTTTAATAATTTTGTCTAATTTGATAGTACTCAGACTTTCTAAAATTTTAAAATTACATTCATTTATTTTATTTTTTGTGATACAGTTTGTAGGTATAGGGATTGTCCCCTCCCTTCTCATTCTGCCCCTCCCCCAATTTTCTCCTATATTATTACAATAGTATAGTGCTTCAACAACAGTCACAAGTCTAACATTCTGCTATTTAAGTACATCATGGCATTGTAGGTGCTGGCAATGGTAGAAAGTCTATTATCATATTGTCAAGGTATATTAAATAATTTCATTGGGATCCTCCTTTTATTGGGGAGTAGGGATACATAACTCCAGTGAGATTGGTCTGCACTGAGAACTCTAAAAACACCTGGTGGTGTGGAAGTGGGGAAAAAGGTACCCTGCTCCACTGTTGGTGGGAGTGTAGACTAGTACAACCACTAAGCCAGTATGGAGAGTACTAAAGCAACTGAAAATTGATCTGCTGTATGACCCAAATATTCTACTCCTGGAAATACATCTAAAGGAAGTAAAATCTGCAAATGAGAAACTGACCTGCAGCCCTCTATATATAGTAGCACAATCCACAATGGCTAAGACATGGAAGCAATCCAGACGCCCATCAGAAGAGGAATGGATAAAGAAACTGTGGTACATCTACTCCAGTTTCTACTCAGTTATTCAAACAATGAAATTCTATCATTTACAACAAGATGGTCCATGTTGGAGAATATTATGTTCAATGACATAAGCCAGTCCCAAAAGGAAAAATATTTTATGTTCACTCTGTTATAAGGCAACCATCCTGTAAAATACAAGATCAATAGATCTATAGGTAAGCATGCATATACATAGTTATCTAGAGAATCTGTATAATGAAGGCAAGTATACCATGTCATGGAGATACATCACAGTATGCAATTCTGCTTCTGAATAAAATATGGATGCCCAATAGAACTGTCAAATAACTACATGTTGACACTAGAATGCTGGACTTCACACCATTTTCTATACCTACAAGGCCAGGAAACAGTTTAACAGCAGAATGACAAATTTGTGACTATTGCTTAGGGACTAAAGTATTGCTACAATATAGGGGAAAGGAGGGTGTGGGAGGGGTTGTGGGAGTGTCAAAGGGAAAAATCTCTGAACCTAAGGACTGCATCATGAAAAACAAAGAATTTTTTCAAAACAGAAATATCTTCTGTTCTCTCTAAAACAACCTTTATTCAAAATACAAAACAAATAGATATACAGGTAACATGTATATACATATACACTCATAGATGAATGGTACATTGGAGACTAGCACATCAGGAAGCAAAGATATTATTAAGACTTTGCATACAGATGGCAACTTGGCTGCCCAATCTGTAAGTCAATCTATGGACATTACAGGAGTATCCACTACGAGAAACCTGCTGCTCTAGATGTTGAAGACACAGCCATATACCCAAAAAGACCAAATTTGTATCTTAAAGATTTTTCCTACTGGGAGTGGAAGAAAACAACAGATGCATAAATAAACAGATAAGACAAGGTTATACATTGACAAAGGTAAAGAAGAGTATAAAGTTAGTAAGACAGGAAGTGAGTACAGGATTAGAGATCATACAACGTGTGCTCAATGACTTCTGGCAAATGGATACAGAAACTCCCTAGGTTGTACAGTTTGATTTCATTTCCATATACTTTAATGAGATGGCTCACTACCTTCCTGACCAAATGATAATTTCTCCTCAGGCTTATTATCTTGGATTTTAATAATCCAGAAATAGAGATGACAAAAATTTACCCATTAAAACAGCTTTAACAGCATAATGATTTAATCACTATATGTATATGTAAATATACATACACACACATATATATATATATATATATATGCTTTTGTTTCCTTTGGAGCTTAATGGGTGCTATTCTTCCAGATGGTTCTTACACTGTTTGCTCTATACAGTTTTTAAATCAGTGATCACCTGGAAGGTGAGTGCTTGTAGCATAAATTCATGATGTGAAAATCAAGGGATCCCATACCCAAATCCCAGCATCAGACAGCCTCCAGTAGGACAGAGTTCCAATGGAAGCAGGAGTGTGAGCATGCCTCTATTTTATCACACACTCTTGACAGACACCACGAGGAAAGGCAGCCAAGAAACCAAGCCCAGTACTGCTAGTTTCTATGCTCACACACACACACAGGCAGCCCAGATTTTATTTCCTGATTCTATGTGAGCAGAAATTGCTATTTAAAAAAATTATTTTTATTGGATTGGCAAATTTATAGAGAGGAGAGGCAGAGGGAGAGATCTCCCACATGCTGATTCACTTAACAAATGGCCATACTGGCTGAATCAGCCTATCTGAAGTCAGGAGCTTTGGCTGCTTCTTTCGTACCAGTGCAGGGTCCCAAAGCTTTGGGTCATCGTCCACTGCTTTCCTAGCTGTGGCAGAGAGCTGAATGGGAAATCGAGCAGCTGGGACAGGAACTGGTGTCCACATGGAATGCTGGTACCTGTAGGCAGACGATGAGCCAGTAGAGCCATCATGACAGCCACAGAAACTGCCCTTATTTTGAAGATGCATTTCAGAAGGAAGCATCTATTTTCTTTCCTCAGAAAATGCAAAGATTCTTTCCTATTTTCAAAAAAGACTTTTCAACCAAATCCATGATTTTCCAACAGTTTTCAACACAAGATCTGCAGCAGCCCCAGGATGGGGAAGTGAAAAGAGGTAGTAGGAGGGCCTCTGGGAAATTTCAAGTGGGCAGTACTCCTCATCCCCGTTTTAGCCAGCAGCGCCATGGCCTACAGGCTGGGACTCTGCAATAAATGTCACAAGGTTCTTTTGCTGAACATAATTTCAAACCACCAGTAGAGAAAGCACTCCAGATTTGACCCCACAACAGTGCGGCCACAACCTCAGAAAACAAACAAGAACTTGCAGGACCATTCTCTAAGCACCCCACTACCATGTGAATTCCAGGAAAGGAAAGCCCTCTTCAAAGCTTGCCCATCGTGTGCTGTCACAGCATGCAAAGCCTGCACGGCTCATGGCTGCTGCACATTTGTGCGCTGCCAAGACCCGAGTGGCCCGCATCAACTTTTCTTATCTCCCTCTCCAGCCTCCCTTCCCTCGGACCAGGAGGTTTCTAATGTTGTCTGGGCCACATCACTTGTACAGTCTGTCAAAATCTAAGCATCTCCTCTCAATCATGGTTTTCAACACATATCATCATACAAAATGAGATTTCAAAAGAAGCTAAGTATATTAAAAGGCATTCTAGGGGCCAATGGACTCAGGGTAAGAAATACTTTTATGTAACTGCCTACCTTTGGAGATGCTCAATGCTAAATTTTCCACCCTGCCCTTTGCCCGGTGCCAGTATTGCTTTCTGGTTGGCTTACCAGGAATCTGCGAATTCCTTAACAGGAACCTAAGATAAAACATGCTTTTAAGTTGAGTTCTCCCTTTTTCTGACCAAACTTACTTTTGCTCACTTGTTCCTTTCATCCACATTTTCAATGTTCTCATCTGGAAATCCAAGAGCTGTCTAGGATTCCTGAACCTCTCCTGCACCTCCTGCCTCTCCCAGCCTGCAGGTCCCCTGTCCCCATCATTGCACTGTGGAGCCACCTTCTCCTTTCACTCCTGTGCCAACATCTTTATAACTTTTATCATGACTCCATTGGACGCTTGGCTTTACATAGAAAATCAATGTAAAATTCTTCAGCTGTCGCTTGTAGCCCTCCACTACCTGTCCTGACCTTCCTCATTTACCTGAGTCTTCATCAGTCCATCTGACTGCTCATGAGGCTCATGTCTGAACAAACACAAACTGTGTTCACTTCTGTCCCTGAGTGCTGTAAGTATTCCCAGGCTCGGGAACTCTTTCCCTGTTTACTACCCAACTGTTACCATACATCCCACACTTTAAACATCAGAGATTCTTCCTCAAAGAAACTTTCTGGAGGCTTCTTGAAATCAATAATCTCTCCTCAATGTTACTTCAAAAAAAATTCAAACACAATTAAAATTGAAAACATTTATGTATTGTATAGTGCTCTCATCAAGATAAACTTATCTATTTTCTCAAATGCTCATTTCTTAGTGGTGGAAACATTCTAAACCCTTCCTTTCTTTTCTCTGTTTTTTAAGCAAAATATACAGTACATCATTATCTTTTTTTTTGCATTTTAAATTATACTTTTGCATAGATAAGTTGGGTAAAAAAGGCTCAAGGGCGATAGGAAAGTGAGTAAGACTATTATTTCCATATTATTTCCTTCATGTTTAAAGGGGTTATTAAGGGAGAAGGCCCACCCAATTTCCCACCCTCTCCAGGTCCTGGATGTAGGGTGTGCTCCGAGGTTCTTGCTCAAGTGGTTTTGATAGTTCAACAGCTATGAAAGTACATCATTATCTACAGTTACACTACTGTGCAAAAGAATGTTAAAACTTCTTGCTCTCTCTCCTCAACCACCTCATTTGCATTTGTGGATACTTCATAAACACCTGCATACTTATAATTTATATGTATAAACTAATAGCTATAATTTGCATTACAACAATGTCAGGAGGTTTTTATTTTCCTTTCTTGAAGCTTTTGTGATGGAAAGAGTAATGAGTAACATGCTGTCATTTTTATGGTTCTGTACCACAGCCTGGTTTTCTAGTCAGTTCCTAATGGCTGGCTGACCAATGGTTGATTCTTCCAAGCAGGACGCTTTGCTTTCCATCTCAGCTGCCTTAACACTGTATTATCCAATAATCATTAGATTACTAGATTCAAAGACAAAAATTCCCAACAGTTTAAATCTCATATAAGCTTAATGGGAAAAAAATATTATTTTAAATGGCTGGACAGTTCTGTGAACAGGTAACCCCAACATAGTTTATTATCTGTCTTCTAAAAATAAGTACCATGGATCCAGGGACCTGTTATCAGGAAGCTGCTGAGAGGGGGTGACTAAATTATCTTGGTATTCAGTTTGTCCTCTTACCACAACAAACACAGGCATCTACACAACCAAATTACCTTTGATTTCAGGATAGTAGAGAAAAGGTTTTGGTTCACTAGTTTCCAAATCAGATTTCCTCCGAAGTTGGACAAAAACAGAGGCTGGTTTTGTAATGTTGACATCTTTATATTTTGGAGTTTTGAAGACAATGGCAAACTGTAGGATAAACAGATTGAAATGTTGGTATTAGACACTTTTTTTTTTTAATTGCAGCAATGTAATTCATTAAACACATACTATGTACTAAAAGGCACCCAGGGAAAGTTACAAGCTCAGAATTCTACATCCATTCATATTTATTTGATTGTCACTAAGAAACTGAAATACAGCATGATGTCAATAGACTTCAAGTCTCTATTATTTGTTTACTGCTTTTTAAAAAAGATTTATTTTATTTTTATTGGAAAGTCAGATATACAGAGAGGAGAGGGGGGAAGATTTTGTGTCCAATGCTTCACTCCCCAAGTGTCCCCACTTGAGATTCCCTATGCATAGGCAAATATCAACACAGAATTAATTCTTAAATTAATTTTAAATGTATTCATTGGATAGGCAGAGAGATACACTCAGAGACAAAAAGACAAAGAAAGATTCTCCATCTACTGGCTCATTCCGCAAATACACAGAATAAACAGGATTACACAGGTTGATTGGAAGCTAAGGTTTGAATCTGGGTCACCGATATGGGTGACAAGAACCCAACCACTTGAGCCATTGCCTGCTGCCTCCCGTGGTGTGAATTAGCAGAAAGCTGCAATCAGTGGCAGAGGTTGAAGTCAAACCTAGACGCTCAAACATGGGCTTTGGGAACCCCGAGAAGTCACTAACTGTAGGCCAAACCCCCACCCATAGTGTAATTTTTAAATACTGTGCTCTATAGCTATCCTTAAATAAATTTTAATCTTATGGTTTTGAAATTTTTATGTATTGGTTCACAGAGCACTCATTCTTTTTAATAAGGGCATGGTTATACACCACACAGAAACACCATTATTTATTTAAGTGGTTAATATCTGATGAGCAACTGGACAGTTTCCAACTTTTTGTGAAACAGTATTTATCCATCATTCATAAAAAGAAGAGTAATTATTAAAGTGTGGTTGTCAGTGGGAAATCTTGTTTTACCAAGATGATGGCAACTGAATTGCAAGATTCCTCCTTTTTTTTTTTAAAGTCTCACAACATGAAATACTTTATTCCAGGAAAAAGATGTAAGTAGTGTATTACTCATATTCTTAATACCGTTATTTGAATTTAGATAAATTTCCAAGTGAAGCCACCTTTTTAAATTTCCTTTTTTACAAGGAATTTGATTTGCCACACAGAATGTAAGAGGTGGGGAACATTTCAGTGTTATTTGTTGATACAACTGTAATTTTAGAATTACAATTTGAATTTAAGACTTGAGGTAACTTGCTCATAGAGGCCAATTCTGTCTCAGTGCATTCCTCCAGCCCTAACTAGGGGGAAGAGAGCAATGATGACGTGTAAGAACTGTGTCATACACAAATAAACTATGACAATATATATTATTCAATTGGAAGTGGAAAGACCATCACAGAGATCCGTCTGTCATTTCAGTGTCTATAATGAAAATGGTTATGTATGTGTGCAGCCATGTCATGTCATGTTTTTCAAAGGGAATACAGCTCCTGATTACTTTGAACAGCTTACAAATTTTATACTTTGGCTCAATGTATAATCTACTTATCAATAAAGTGATTTTTAACTAGTTGAATTAGGAATTTTTGTTCTAGCACCAAATCTTACAATGTACTGATAATAGTCCAGTAGTCAAAAAGATGCCTCCTTTTATACTCACCATCAGAATATACTACAACAGGCCCTCCTATAATTACCTTACAGAGATTTAAAACACTTTCAGTAATCAAAGGCTTAAGTGTCCCTGCTCTACGGGTTGGGATGTCAGACACCAGATGAAATATTTTGTCAGTGTTTCAGAGCCCAGGAACTGGTAGAACCTTCCAGTTCTGAGGTAGACAGGGCTTTTGGATTGTTAGCAAGCATCTCAAAAAACAGCACTGTTTTATGAAAGTTTAAATATATATTAATATTTTTACCTTGCCACATATGGATACTTAGGTACCAAAGTTTAACAATGCAGAAAATACGACATGACTAATATTAATACTCATCCACTGACCTGTCTATGAACATCCGTGGGGGAAAAGTCTCCAAATCCTTCCCAGATGCCTCCATTTTCCTCCTCTTCATAAAACCGAATCTGGATGTCATCTGCAAATAGTCACATTCAGGTACGTCGTTTCACACCGTGGAATAACATTTAAGATGGAAAAATCAATGTGGTTCAAGATTTCACTTAGGACATACTTAAACCATGTTGAAAAGAATTAACACTGCATACTCTTCAATAACTTAATATTTTCAGAAATCTTTCTTTTTAAATCAGCACAGGAATGGGTTCAAAGTTTCCTTTATAACAGAAGAATATCAAATTGATGTCATCAAGCTGAGTGTTGCCTTAATCTTTGACCTTCCCACTTCTCCATCCTTAAACAAACTGACTTGAGAAGCATGAAGGAAGATGGAGGAACTATTAAGAGTCCCAAAGTAGTTTCCCTCAATATATTGAAGTACATAATGAAAATTAATTCATGTAAGCTTGATGTCATAATTGATCATGGATTTAACTCTCACAGCAATGTTGTGATCTGAGTATACTATCATGCTCTTTTTGCAAGAGAAACTGGAACCCATAGAGACTTAGAACCTTACCCAGGGTGGAGCAATAAATGCAGTAATTAGGATTTAAATATAGACACTATAGTTTAATAGAGTTTAGATTGTTGAACCTGCTACTTTGTGGCCTGCCTAGAACACTTTACTAGGGACAATAAAGAATAATTAAGAGATTGATCAAATTATTACAATGGTTGGATCTCTTTTGATTAAGTAAGAATGTTTAAATTTCACACTCGGGTTATGGCTTTTAAAAGGAGGCTTCAAAAAGTGAATGGAACAATGCATATTACCATTTATTTTCATTTTCCCATTGACCTTGTGATACTCCTTTATACTTTTGCAGGCTTACTTATTCAGTTCTACTTATTCAGCTGAGAGTGGCATCTCACTGGCTTGGGTTCCAACTTCACAGGAAGGACCAGGGTACTAATTTATGAAACTGTTTATACATCTAATTTAATACATTTATATAAATATTAAGGTTGGATTAAACATCTAGTTATCTCCTGGTCCATTCTTTTGTCTTCAGGTAGAACATGACCTTCAAATCATGTTCAAAAGTCTTCTTTTATCAAGCTGTTCCAATGTAACGGCAATGATTAAGAGCTGTACTTACAAACAAGGGTATTCAGGTCGTGTTTACTCATAGCATGCATCCCCAGAAATCTGGAAATGAGTATTACTTGGGTAGATTGGGCTGGACGAAGGCCAATACCAGTGCAAACAGAGAAAGTGTAAACTCTTTTTGCACAAAGAATAGTCTACCGAGAAGTAAAGATACGTTGCACTTTGCATCTCTACTGAAGAAAGAAAAGAAGGGACCTTGTGAAACTACTAAATACCTCCTGACAATAGGATGCTGGACTTTCTAACACTGTCTATACCTACAATGTCATGACACACTTAAAAATAGCAGAATGATGTACTAGTGACTGTTGCTGAAGATCAATCTTATTGTGATAATACAGGGGAAAACAGTAGTGGGGAGAAGGTATGGGGAGGGTGGAAATCCTGGAGCATACAGAACTTTATTATGAAAAGAGAAATAAAATAAAATAGGTATCTTTAAAATCCGGTTCTATTTTTCCTGACTGTGTAGCACATACAATTAAACTTCAAATGAGATGTTTTTAGGAAGTCCTAATTATTTTATGCAGACCCTATGCTTTCTTCTTCATATGGGCTTGCTTTCAAAATAGTCACTTTGCAGAAAACGGATCTTTATTATGATGTACTTCTATCATTTTATTTATACTATTAACAGATCATCTTTTTTAGCTTTTACACATTTATCAATCTTACATCTAATGAGGGGGGAAATGCCAAACTTTTTCTCAAAGTGTACACTGAGGCAAAATAAGCTCTGAGTTTTCCCTTGCACTCATACCACCACAGTGTTTGAAGATGCTCCCGCCATGTCCAGGGAAGTGTTTGAAGATGCTCCCGCCATGTTACGACAAAGCAGCCCAAAATGAATGGAATCAATCTTGTTATGTGACATAAAACTTACTTAGTATGTGTGTGTTTGTACCTGTTACAGGTGTGGGATACTACACATTTCCTTTACTTTGAGTGCAGATACCAAAGCCTAAAATATAAAAACACTTAAAGTCACTATTACCACTATTTTCTTATTTTTCTTGATTTCTGTGGGAAATTCCAACTTAGAACAAATACAGACAACTTCTATTTGGACATTTGAGAGAAGTACAACATGAGGGTGTTTTCAGGGGTTCTCCTGTTGAAAAGTGACTGAGCCACACTGCGAATCGTCCTCTCAATGTGAGGCCAGAGCATTCACTTACCTTTCTGAACCTTGTCACACAGAAGATAAATTTCCTCCCCTCCGGTTACACACCCAGCTGTCCTGTCCATCCTCACGATTTTCAAGTTAGATGCATTGGGGGCTTCTGTCCACAGGAAAAAAAAACAAAAAACCAAGAAAATCTGTCTTATCCCCATGCTCCTAAGAGGGATCTTGCTTCTTAACATATTACCAAAACTAAATCTGAACAGATGATTTTACTCAGGTTGTTATGCGAAAGACACCAATGAAGCAAAAATGGCCTCTGAAGAGCCTTTCCTGATCACGGGTCATTCATGGCAACAGATGGAACAGGTATTATTTCTCTTGTAACGCAGCTAGAGAAGGAACTTTTTTGATATTTTAGAAAGTAAATAATGGATTTCTGGAATTTGAGACAGGTCAAGAGTTTAATTCCAGTCTTGTTTCCATGATACTGCTAAACCAAAAATTAGGAAAAGTTGGGAATAGCACCATTTTACAGTAGGCTAAGCTTCTGTTTGAGATGTTGGCATCCCGTATAGGCACTGGCTTGTGTCCTGGCTGCTCTATTTCTAATCAAGCTCCTGCTTATGGTTTGGAAATCAAAAGAGGATGGTTCAAGGCTTTGGGCCCTTGTACCTTGGTAGGAAACCTAGAACAAGCTCCAGGTTCCTGGCTTCCAACTGGCCCAGCTCTGGCTGTTGCAGCCATGTGGGGAGTGAGCCACAGGATCAGTCTTTTTTTCTCTCCGTAATACTGCCTTTCAAATGAAGAGAAATTTTTACTTCCAAAATTAGAATAAACCACAACTTTCTTCAGTTACATATCAATCTTTATTTTAGAGAGAAGAAAGATGGAGATGTTCTATTTCTTCCCCTCAAACTAAATTAGAATTCTATGTGGTTGAGAAAGAGGAGACAAAGTTTCAGGTGGCAAAAGTACAAAGCTTCCTTTTTTTTCCCTAACAGCTGCATTTTAGGCTGATCTGTGGTATATTAGTTTATATTATTTTATAACCCTTTTGCCACAGGCAGTTTGCAAAAAAAAAAAATAACAATAACAGAGTGAAGAGCAGGACACTGTCTGAAATCTTAACAGACTGCTGGTGTCAGAGTCCAAGGTCAAACTCTGAGGGCAATGGTCTACGAGTGGGCAAAAGTCCAAGACCAAGGTCAAGGGTCTGCAGTTGGGCAACGTTCCAAGGCCACAGAGCAGAGAGCTTTAAGAATGCCCATGAGACAGGAACTCTGACTTCTGTATGGGTCACACTGCTGCTTCCTGATCAAGCACTGGCTGGTTAACACCAGTTTGGGAATGTGGTTCTCAATGTCTGTGTAACATCAGCTCCTGTGATTTGATTTCCCAAAATGTTTAATGAAAGATTGAGGCAGCGAGCCTTTCAGGCCAGACTCCTGAATCAAAGGGGGTTTCCCTCTAGCTGTCCACTTCTGTAGTTTTTCTTGTATCTGTCTCATTTCTTATTTTCTTAGTTGCACATCAGCTCCTCTCCAACCCTGGTCATGCTGTTGCTGGCAGCGGGTACCTTTTATTTTCCTTCCGACTTGATTCATCAGTTAGTTGTGCTTGGATCATGAAGGGTTTCTTTTTTTTTTCCCTCTTATACCAGTATCTATTAAATTATGTTATTTGAAAACAAAACTTCTCATAAAAAAAAGTTAACATTTTTAAAACACATATTTTTAAAAATTTAAAACAGATAGGGAGGAGGGCAGATAAGCCTCAAAGACAGAGAGAGAGAGAGACAAAGAGGGAGAGAGAAAAAAGAGGGACAGTGAGAGACACACTGAGAGAAAACAGAGCTATTCCATTGGTTGGGTCATTCCTTAAATTCCTGCAACAAATACAGTTGGTCTAGGCTGAGTCTAGGAGCTTACACCGAATCAAGGTTTCCGGTGCAGGAGGTAAGGACACGAGTGCTCAGGCCACCACCTGTTGCTTCATTGTATGTGCATTAGCAGGAAGCTGGATTGGAAACAGCATAGCTGGGACTTGAACTAGGAACCTGATATTGGTTGCAGGCCATTCACTGACTTAATTGCTGGACCAAATGCCCATCCTGTTCCTTTGAAGGATTTCTGGAGATGTGCTTCACTACGTTCCATAAATACCAAACAAGAAGGCTATGAGCTAAATGTTGGAGTCCACTCGAAAACTCTTTAAAAATTTCTTTGAATAAAGACTAAAATGGAATTTTCATGTCATATTTATCTATGCTACTTGTTAACTTCAGTAATAGCTGAGAATGAACAGTTTGTCTTTTATCAACTTCTCTTTTGGGTGACAAAAACATTGAGAGGATTTTCTAAGAGCACTACCAATATATGCTTAAAGTAATAAATACATAACTAAGAGGTTGCTCCTGCATATAAAATTCACAACTAAAGAAAGAAAAATGGCACTTGCTGAGCATGTCTTACAATCTCTCACTGAATGCCTTTTAGGGTGGATTTTGGTGCTCACATTTGGTAGTGAAAAGCCTGAAGCTCAGAGTGGTGACATTATTTTCCACTGGACTCAAAGCTTGTAAGTAAACAGCAGGACAGGGCTGGCAGTCTGGTCTTGATTTTATAGCAAATTGCCTCTATGAGGAGCCGGGTACTCACTGCTGTCGTAGATGGCATCTGACACCACAGGTTCCAGGCGCCTTGTGAAGCTGCCAGTGCTGTCTGGAAGAAAGGCCGTGAACATGAGCCGTACCACGCTCAGGTCCATCTCCTTTGTCTGCTGCAGTGCTGCCTGGCGGATGAGCTCCTTTTCCCGATCTAGAACCACACAGCACAGACTATTCATGGTCAAGGAAAGCAGAATGTGTGAACAATGAAAACAGCATGGTTTCATAAAGCCCAAAGGAAAGCATGTGCACTTTCTATTTTTTTCTTTTTTGAAATTCTTACAAACTATGAAAAGTCTAGTTTTCATCACTCAAAATCAAGGCATTAAAAGACTTGCATTTTCTGTGAAACATGCTGTCAGCTGCCTCTCCCCTCTCCCATCTTCCTCTATGTCTCCCTTTTGCTCCCTACAATAAGAACTTCAGGCTCGATGAAGTGATGCAATGAACTCTAATTAGCCTACTATGCACCAGCTGTATTGAGAAATATGAAAGTTAATTGCCCACAAGCTCTTTGAGCATAAGAACTACATTCCTCCCTTAAGTTTCCAGGACAAGGACTGGCTTGTGGTTAAGTACTCAAAAATGAGTTTTAAAAGAGTCAAATGACTCAATTATAACTGGTTCCTTTCCTTCTGTTACAATTTTTACGCTAGTGAATATAGTCATACTTAATGTATAATATCAAAAATCCAAGTGAAGTACTACAAAAAAGCTACAGCCCGCTTCTCATTCTGCTCCCTGCTTGAGGCCTGGCTGGCCCAAAGCTTTGGGACCCTGCACCCACCATAGGAGACCTGGAAGAAGCTCCTGGATCCTGGCTTTGGTTTGGTGCAGCTACAACCACTGTGACTACTTGGAGAGTGAATCAACAGATGGGATATTTTCCTCTCTGTCTCTCCTCCTCTCTTTATATCTGACTTTACAATAAAAAACAAATCTTTAAAAAAACTCACTAAGAATAAAACAGGCAAATAGAAAGTCAAAGCATATATATGATTCAGGCAACAGCTAACTAAAGTGCTGAAGGAAAGAAGGGCATTTTGTAGTGAGGCGAGCTGGGTGGGATGCCACAGAATTGCCCTTGGAAGTAGATCCTGCATTGCGCATTTACACTGACAGGCTGAAGAGGGAAAGCAGGGATGCTTCTGGCAGAGGAAGACACGTAGAGAGCCATGGGTATGCATCAGCGTTTTGAGAGCAGAGAGAGGACAGTACAGGATGGGGCTGGAGCTGAGGCTCAGCCCGCCCGGGAGGACTCTGCACCCGCAGGCTATGTGGGCAATGGAGTTGATTCTGGAGATGGCAGACTGTCATTAAAGCTCTCTGAGCAGGATGAGGGGACGGTGAGGCACAGGCCACAGGAGGAGGAATCAGAGGCACGTGGATGCACCCACGGGCCACAGCAGCACAGAAGCTGCTCTCAGAGGAGCAAGGCTGGGCAAACGAGGCTCACCCGTGAGCTGCCGGTCTCCTCCACCTTCAGTCTGCAAGTAAGCCAGATCAGGATGCACCAGAAGTCCAGGATTGTAGCCCCTGATACACGCCTCTGTCATTCTTGCTTCCAGTGTCTCAAAAACCTTCTTCTTTGTCACATGAAGTATACCTAGGTTTGAAAAGCTGGAGGCAAAAAAAAAAAAAAACCCAGTAAGCAGGAACAGCAACAACACTAAGTTAGACATACATGACTACAGAGGAGGGCTTTACTAAAGTGCATTTTAAAAATGCACAGTCCATAGTCTTATCCAAATACCTGGCAACTAGATGGATTACAGTTTAGGTCTTTCTGACATTGGAAAGCTAATGTACACTTAAACTGAATATTGCATTATATTTTCAACATGTTTTCAGAGTACAATGCAATCAAATACACTAATATTATATAGCTATAAATACAAATATTACATAACTATACTCAGCAAATGAAAAACAAACACCTGGTTGACAGGTCTCATAGAATTTTGCTGATAAGCAATTCTGTGGTGTATTTGGAATGTATCTTTTGTTTTCAGAAGTTACTGTACTTCCAACTTGTCAAAAGGAGTGGGATACATATTCCTCAAAGGAGAAAGTCTTAGCTGAGCTCATGTGAAAGAATTTTCTATAGGAATCTCACAAAAAGAAACACTAGATTCCAAATATACACTAACATGTTTTCTTTTTAACAAAAGAGGAATGCTACAGATGAAAGGGTTTATTTTCTTCAGGTCATGCTTTGGTTTCTGAAAGATTTAAAGTCTTTCTGGAGTCTCATTTACTCCTGGGCTGTCTTTAAGGTGGGAATTGATTATTGCCACTAGAACTGTCCTTAATTCCACATGTACGCAGGGCTGAGGGTATATGCACTCATAATGGAGAATCTTTTACTTTGTTTTCAAGTTTTTTCAATTTTTGTTTCAGAATAGCTTAAAATTTACAAAACATTTTGTAGTTATACAAAATTTTCAGCTATCTATTCCCAGCTCCCATTATTAATGCCTTTATTAGTACTTTTTTTGGTCACAATTCCTAAGCTAACCAAAATTTCCATATGTATTTTTTTACATCCAAACTCTATCTCACCCCCTCAGCCTTCAATAATAGGCAACATTCTGGCTTCATGCTGAGGCTTTTTAAAATTCGCTCCCAAATATGCAAGAGAAAACGAGAGCATGTGATATCATTCTGTGTCTGACTTCTTTCCTATAATGTCCTTTAGTTCAATCCAGACCAGCACAGAGTGAATGAAGAAAATATGAGACATTTACACAAAGCAATACTATTCACTCTTAGGATGAATGAAATCCTGTCACTTGCAGCAAGGTGGAGGATATTTTATCTCTTGAAGGTTACTTGTACAGAAAATACATTAATAAATGGACATATGGCAATTGAGGTGAAAAATACATAAAATTCTCCAGTCATGCACACAAAGATACAAGAAACAAAGAAGTCTGTTGAGCAGCAGTAATAAAACACACAGACACAAAACACTTTGCCAAGGAGACTTGTTCATCCAACAAATGTTTATTTAATGCCAGACAATATACTAGGTGCTTCTGTTATATGATAACATGAAAAACAGAAGAAACTAAAAATTACACAATATAATTTAGAAGATAAGTGTTATTAAGAAAAATAAGGTAGGAATAAGGAATAACAGAATTAACAGAAAAAGGCCCAACACTTTAAAACAGGGACAGGTCCTGAAGGACCTCAGTGGAAAGATGACAAGCAAGCAGCAATGTGAAAGATGTGAAGAGGAAGCCATGGATGTGTAAGTGAAGAGCATTCACGGCAGAAAGACGTGCAGGTGGGAAATCCCGAGTAGGACCAGGTGAGTGATTTCCTTTCCATTTTAAAAATAGCATTAAATAGAAGCATTGCCTGTTATGTGCTCCATGCTGTTTCAGGTACACAGGTCACATCGCAGAACAAAACAGAGCCCTATCTTTGTGTAGCTTATAGGCTCATATTTATTACCACAGCACCTGCACACTGTCAGTGACCTTGGGCAAGTCACCAGACCTCTGGGCTCCACTGTTCAGCTGCTAGTGGGAGAATAAGAGTCTAGCTCAGATGAGGATTTTGTGCATGATGTGGACAATGCACTGCTAGATGCCATCATGGGATACCCACCCACAACCTACCACCCAGAGAGGAGAGTTGGCTTTGATAATGAAGTACAACGAGGGCAGACTGAGCTGAACAGGTTGCATGGTGTGAAGTGGTGGTGGGGAAGGTCTAGGTCACAGGCTAGGTACCAGGCAAGACATATTCTAAACTCTTCACAGTGGCTGATGTTATATCTAGGAGGTTAAGCTGCTGCTGCTACTGCTTGCAAAGTTGCCCTCCTATATGGGACAGCAGGTGCAAGTCCTGGCCACTCTGCTTCCATTCCAGCTCCCCATTAAAGTGCCCCAGAAAGCAACAGAGGATGAGCCAAGTATTTGGGCCTCTGTCACTCATATTGGAAATATGGAGAGAGTATCTGGCTCCTAGCTTCCACTGACACAGCACTGCATTTGATGAAGCACACACTGACACACCCGCACACACACAGATACACGCCCGTATGTGTGTGCACCACACACACACACCCACACACCTTTTTTCAGCTATACAAGTAGACCTTCATAATTTTGGTCCTTTGCTTTAGAATCTGTCAGACTAAATTCCTAGACAGCTCTGGGATTCTAAATAAGCTAGAGACTACTCAGGCTTTGCAGCCAACTTCCTTCAGCTGCTGTTTTACACAGTAAATGCTTTTCTCCTTCCCCACCAGTTGGATGGTCTAGATGAAGGTGGTCATGTTCTGATTCTTCGAATCCAAAATAACTCCTCTGGGACATCTAATGAGCAAATGAGCAGTGAACAGTCACTCTGCCATTGGATTATCATGTTGGTTTTGGTCAGGAGCCACAGGACAGGAACTTCCAGCTGGGAGGCATCTTCTGGTACAGCACATCTTCCATCAAGCCATGTTAGCTGTAGGGATTTGGGTCCCAGGTTCTTCAAAGCATGCTCTGGTTCAGGAACCACTTCACTATCACCCTGAGTACAGTTCGGCATGTGGAATCCCAGGGCAGGGGGAGCAGCAGAGAGAGGCCACATGAGGGTTCTCCAGTGCACGTCTCAGGCCAGGCAGCTCCTGGATGGACCCTACTCAGCACCATTAGCTGCCTGTAGGCCACCTACCACTACTGATTGGCTGCACAATATCTACCACTTATAGTGTCCCTTGCTGTTGTTTCCAAAAGATAACAGCCTGAAGCCCAAGGTACTTTGCGAGAACTAAGCAAGAAATCAGTAAGTGAGGCATTCAAAGAATAAGCTGGAGGCACATCTGTTAAAGCAAGCTCCTGTAGGAACTTTCATTCTTACTTTTACTCATAAAGAAAGAAAATATATGGTTAGTAACAGAGATGTTAGGACAACTAGACTTAATGAAACAAGATAATCTGAGAAAGTAAGCTAAACTAGGTAAAGAAAATTGAGGCTGTGATGGTACAATGAAATGTGTGCTCTCCCAGAAGCCTGAAGACACAATGAGTCATGGGTCCAGATAAATGAGCAGCTGAGACATTCACGAAGAGCAAAATACACCACTTCAATTTCTTCGAAGGCAGAGATCGCCACTGCCTAAGGCAGCTCCTGAAGTCTGAGCGTGTCACAAACGTCTGCGGACTAAACGAACACATGAACATGACACAGCAACTATGCGATATGATATCCTGATGCGCCTGCAGGCATAGGTAGTTTTTCAGAAACAATACTTGCAGCTTTTGGCCTTTTATGTATTACTACTATATAGGATATCCACAGGTAAAGGAAAACATGGTAATCTCCCAGATAATAAAAATGACAAATATTTGGGTTGCAGTCTATACTTTATCACTTATAAAATGCTCTTCATGAAGATGACCTACTTTGATGCCTGTGAGAAAGGCATTATTCTTATTGATCACTATGTGAATAAAAGCTGTACTGTGTCAACAAATGAAGCTACGAAAGTCAATCTTCTGCCTTTAGGTAATGATGGCGCTACAGTGATGGGATGGAACCTCCTCTTAAAAAACTAAAACAACATTAAAAAGTGGCTTTCTAATTAAGCATCTGGGTCCATGGGGAATTGGAGTAGCTTCGGAGGCCAAGAACTCCTGCTTGGATCTACCACATGGGATGGAAGAAGTCCAAATCCTGCCTTGCAGGATCCAAGGTCATCGGAATGACAACCAGGAGCCCTGAGCGGTCCACAGAAACAGAAGAACAGTAAACTTCCTTCGGGACTAGGGAGGGGAGTTTTCTCTGGTCCTTGCCTGGTTCCAACTTTGGGTCCCCACCCTCTCTCGCAATGACCATCAGGATCGCTCCAGAAACCCCTCAAAACAAACAAACAAAAAAATCTAGAATCGATAGACAGAGAAAAACAAAGAAAGCTTAGAATCAGACAGGAAATGGTCAGTGGGGTTGCATTTATACCTCACTAGGTCGGACACAAAGATTAGTTACTCCTCACTGGGGTATTGAAGATTTCTCTAGACACCTCCCCTAAAACTGTTCACCTAAACTGTTGACACATGTCTTGTTTGAGTTATAGAGTTAGACTACCCAAAAAACAGCCAGGTTTAGCAAAATCATGCTTCAGCGCTACAGACTGCTAAATACTAAAATTAAAATAGACATGAGAGAGCTGAATAGTAACCTATAGGCATTTTAAGGTGTACAGAACCCGGTTGTACATAAACTAACAATTGAAATGTCAATGAAGAAGTCACAGGATGTGGTTCAGAATTGCATTCTTTTTTCTCTTTTTTTTTTCTTTTAACATATTGGTTACTCAATACCATGTCAATTAATTCCATAACATTGTAAATTGTTACTGATGTTAGGTTGGGGCTTTTAATTGATCAGGATGATATTCTGCTGGCTCTACCTTCAGACCAGAGATGGTCTCCCCAAAAAACCGTTGAACTTATCTGGACAATAAGATGCTGGACTTTATGCTTGGTAGATGCTTGTAATAAAAGAATCTCAACTGAATCTGAACTGTGGTAATGCAACAAGGTGGAGGAATCCACCATGGGGAGGGTTTGGGGAGGGGGGAGGGAAATCCCAGTGCCTATAAAACTGTGTCCCAT